ACAGGCTCTAGAGCGCAGGCTCGGTAGTTGTGGCACACGGGCTTAGTTCCTCCGAGGCATGTGGGATCTTGCCAGACCAGGGCTTGAACCCATTGTCCCCTGCATTGGCAGGCGGATTCTTAGCCACTGCACCACCAGGGAAGTCTCTTTAAATCTTCTGATAGATAACCCCAGGGTAAGCCACTGCTACTGAGGGCCAAAACCAAGGAAAGTTTCTATGCCAGTTCCTCAGGCATCACTAGACCAGCCCAAATGCATAAATCCAAATGTTTTGAGGACAAGGTCACCACTACCCACCCTGGCACCAGCCAGCTGCTCCAGGAACTCAGCCAAGATGGTGCTAAGGAATCAGGAGTGGTAGTTGGCTTGTGCCTGCCCCTAACTTACAAAAGATCAGAAGCCTCTCCCTTCATGAAGTGCTCACAACCAGCACATGATGTGCTCGTTGTTATAAGTGTCCAAACATGTTCCAGAGCTCCAAAGTCGTTTATTTCAATTGATCTGTCCAGCTTAATCGTTGACTCAGCAGAGTGACTGACCCCAGATCTTTGTAGCCTGTCATTTTGCTTGTTGTCACACCTACTCTGTATTTTTAAGTAACGTCATTAGGTGCATACACATTTAGGATTGTTAATGTCTCCTTGATTAATTGACTTGTATCATCATAGAATATCCTTTTTTCCTCTGGTAATTCTCATTGTCTTGAAGTTCACTCTGTCTAATACGAATATAGCCACACCAGTTTTCTTATTATTAGTGTTTGTGCGAGACAGTTCTTAATGTCAACCTATTTCTATTTAATGTGCATCTCTATAAATTGCTTTTTAAAATACAATCTGAAAATCTCAGACTTCTATTTAGAGTGTTTAAGACCATTAATATATAATGCAAATACTGACTTTTTCAGTTTAAAGACTACTGTTTAATTTGTTTTACTATTTATCTCCTCTACTTGTTCCTTTGCTTCTCCTTTCCTGCCTCTTTTGGGTTGATTTTTACATGTTTTTTTTTTTTTAATTGAAAATTAAAATTTTCCTGTCTCCTCTTGTTTTTTGTTTGTTTTGATTTTTGGTATAACTATATTTTTTCAAATGGTTGCTCTAGGGAAAACAATATGCTTCCTCAGCTTATCAGTTTATCTTGCATTACTGTCATACCAATTCATAATAATGTAAGAACATTATAACTCCCCCATCCTTTGTGCAATTGTCATGTATCTTACTTCTACATGTTATATACCCAAATATAGGTAACATTTTTGCTTTAAGCAATCAATAGTCTCTTAAAGGAAAAATAGTATATTTACCCACATACTATTTCCAGCGCTCTTCATTCCTTCCTGTAGACATGAATTTCTATCTATCTGGCATCATTTTCCTTTTAGCCTGAAGAACTTTTACCATTTTTTTTTATAGTACATGTCTACAAGCAACGTATTCTCTTGACATTCAGTTATCCTGAAATAGTTTTATTTCATTTTCACTTTTGAAAAATATTTCCCCCACATAATGTTAAGACAGATTTTCTTTCTTTCAGCACTTTAAAAATGTTATTCCTCTGTCATGTTCTTTTTTCCTGATAAAAAGTCAGCTATCATTCTTTTCTTTTTTTAAATAAATTTATTTATTTATTTTTGGCTGTGTTGGGACTTCATTGCTGCACGCAAGCTTTCTCTAGTTGTGGCGAGCAGGGACTACTCTTCATTGCGGTGCACAGGCTTCTCATTGCAGTGGCTCCTCTTGTTGCGGAGCACGGGTTCTAGGCACGCAGGCTTCAGTAGTTGTGGCACGTGGGCTCAGTAGTTGTGGCTCACGGGCTCTAGAGCACAGGCTCAGTAGTTATGGCGCAGGGGCTTAGTTGCTCTGTGGCATGTGGGATCTTCCCGGACCGGGGCTCGAACCCATGTGCCCTGCATTGGCAGGCGGATTCTTAACCACTGCGCCACCGGGAAAGTCCTCAGCTATCACTCTTATTGTTATATCTGTGTATGGTATGTCTTTTTTGTTTTCCTGACTACTTTTTAAAGATTATCTTTGGTTTTCAGCATTTGACTATGACATGCCTAGGTGTGACCTTCTTTGTATTTATCCTGCATATGTGTGTGTGTGTGTGTGTGTGTGTGTGTGTGTGTGTGTGTGTGTGCACGTGTGCGTGTTCATGTGCGTGCACTGGTTTGGGGGGTGGGGGGTAACACACAGTGAGGCCGGACAAAGATTAAGGGAAAAGCTAGAAGAGTTTTACAGTTTTGTTATATCACAGTTCACACCATGCAGGACCCCTCGGGGGAAGCACTAGGGTTGGTCACTAGGAAGAAGGCAAGGCAGGAACTGTGGGCAAGAGCTTTAACTGTGGTTTCCCCAGGAATGAATGGGTGAGGCAGGATAAGACTGGCTAATTTGAATATTTCAATAAGCTCTGGAGCATAGGAGATGTCCCTGCATGTCTTATATCTGGCCTTGGGCGATTAGGGTGGGTATATAGTGGCCCAGAGTTGAAGAGTCCAATAAGTGAAGTGGTTGAGGGCGTGGACTAGATTGACTGTTCAAGAGAACTGACTGGCCTTTAGCCAGGGCCAAAACTGGGTCAAGAGAGCATTTTTAAGAAACTGTATTTCTGGAGTCACTAAGGCTCTTGGATCCATGAGTTGTTTTTAATCACACCTTGACGATTTTTGGCCAGTATTTCTCTGAACGTATCTGTTACACTGCTTGATACTGCCTCACAGGTTACTACATATATTCATTTATGATTTTTCTCAATCGTTTTTCCCTCTTTGCTTTTCAATTTGGATAATTTCCATTAACCTGTCTTCAAGTTCTCTGATCCTTTTTTTTTAAAAATTTTGCAGTGTTTAATCTTAAGCCTACCCATGAAATTGGTTTTTAAAAATTTCATCTCTCCTAAAATTCCCCACATCTTCATCCTTTGTATATATCCATTCCTATTGTTTCTTTAACATATTTATAATTATTTCCTTTTTAAATAAATTTTATTTATTTTTTGGCTGCAGTTGGGTCTTCATTGCTGTGCGCAGGCTTTCTCCAGTTGCAGCGAGCAGGGGCTACTCTTCATTGCGGCGCATGGGCTTCTCATTGCGGTGGCTTCTCTTGTTGCAGAGCACAGGCTCCAGGCGCACAGTAGTTGTGGCTCGCAGGCTCAGTAGTTGTGGCACACGGGCCTAGTTGCTCCACAGCATGTGGGATCTTCCTGGACTGGGCATCGAACCCATGTCCCCTGCATTAGCAGGGGGGTTCTTAACCACTGCACCACCAGGGAAGTCCCTATAATTATTCTAAAATTCTTATTCAACAATTTCAACATCTTGGTTGCCTGCAGATCTCTTGACTTTTTCCCCCTTGTTTATGTGTCCTAATATTCATTCCTGTTTCTTACGTCTGATCTGTGATTGTATACTGGACATTCTGAGTAATACAGAGACTCTGGATTCATTAATTTTCCCATGAAAACTGTTGAGTTTTAGTAGGGAGTTAAGTTACTATTGGATCACCTTGATTCTTCGAAGGCTTGACTTTACACTTTATTAGAGTGGTTCTATTTTAGTTTTGCCCTTAGTCCTAGGGCCTAGACCCGAGTTCAGCGGAAAGCCCCAAATATTTACTGAGCCTCTCTAACTAACTTGGTGGGACATAAACGCCAAACTTTCCCTCCCCAGCGCCAGACATCTTCTGAGCTTTTCCAGCCTTCCAGCTGTTGCTTTGTTTGGCCCTCTTGGAATCCTGCTTTGTTCAAGCATAATTTAGGAGTCAGCCAAGGATATGAGGGGAGTATGCACGGCAAATTCAAGGCTCTGTGGCTTCCTCCTTTCTGGGATTTTCTGCCTTCAATTTCCAGCTGCTTGGGCAGCCTCTGAACTCTGACTTGGTTCCTCAGCCCTGTAGAACAGCCACTTTTTGTTTTATTCCCTGTGGGCCACATGAGGAATAGTTGCTTAAATGTGGATCTTATCCAGTGTGTTTCTCTTCTTTCAGGGGTTGGGTCCCCTCCAGTTTTTGCCTGTCTCTGATCACTTTCCAGTGCATTTCAACAATGTATATCTATTTACTGGTTGGTCTGATACAATGCTCTTGCCACTGATGGAAGCCAGACTATAATCCAACTTCTTTTTACCTCTTTATCTGGTTGATGGTTATACAAGTGTGTTTACTTTGAAAATCTATCAAGGTGTATGTTTGTGTACTTGTACCTTCAAATGCTATACATCAATAGTAATATTTTTACAAGAAAAAAGAGGTTTCATGTGGGTACCCAGTTTAAAACCCCTCAGGGGCTTTCTGGTGGCTCTGGATCAACTCAGATCCCCACTCCAGCACCTCGCTCCTGGCCATGACTCCAGCCCCAGAGGTTCACTTGCAGCTCCTTAAATGAGATACACCAGCTCTCCAACCTCACCGTATCCCCCCTCCCTCATTCTACATAGATAGCGCCTACTGATTCCCCAAACTTGAGTTTAAGCATCCTCTCCTTGTAGAAGCTTTTCCTGACCACCAAACCCCTCCTTCCCTCCTCCACCGTAGGTGCCCTCTGTCATGTTCTCACAGCCACAAGGTCCCTCTGCCCAACCTCCACCTCTGCAAGCGCTCCCATTACACCAGCTTGCGGTGTCCAGTGAGCACCTGAATGGCGGGAACCGTAATCTTCAACCTTAAATCCAGCCCCAGCGTAGGAGCTCAGAGAATTTGCAAAATGAACAAAGTCCATGCCATCCTTCCTGTTACGGTTAGTGCTTCTGGGGCAGCTTGCCTGCCAGATCCTGCCTGGGGCAGTCCCCCAAACTTGGGGACCTCGGAAGAGGCCTGGGTGCTCCCCTGAGAATCTAGAGAATTGGCTGCACCTGGACCTAGCTCCTCAGCAGACAAGGCGTTCGGGTAAAGCTCTTCCTCCTGTCCAGGCCTGCTGCTTCTGTCAGATGGAGGGATGGAATTTCGAGCTCTAACGACTTACCTTTCCTAAGCATAAAAGCTGAATGACGGACCAGACGGTTTTAAACAAGAGAAGGAAAAGTTTATTGTGTTGAGCAGACCTTATCTTCATTACAGTACCAGGAAATTCATTCTCAATCCATTTCAGGCGCAGAGGGCTCTGTAGACGTTTACTGTCCCAGTGCTTGTTCCCGAGCAAGGGGCAGCACCTGGACCTTTGCTGCATTTAATGGAACAGGATTACAGTAAAATAGAAGAGTTACAAAGGTTTTTTTTGTTTTTTTTTTAAGTACAGTTTCTTTAAAAATTCTAATATTTTTCTTTGTTTTTTCCATGTTTACCTTATTATTAGCAAAAACAACTGGTTGGAAACCACCGTACTTGATAATCTTTTCTCAAATTGCTGACCTTAGGTTAATGTATTTTGCCATTTTTATTGAGAAGAGGAATTACGTCCATTTCTCTGGAAATCTAAAAGGTGACACGTAAGGCAATGCATAAATTACAGGTGGGATGAAGGCCTTGCCTCAAACCCTAACTTGTGTCCTACTTACATCTGCCGCATTTGGCCTCTGTGTTGCTAGGTGATTGGAAAAGACTCAGGAGATGGCCTCACTTTCGGACTGCTTCTGGGGAGCATGCAGGTGCCTGAAGCTGATTTCGTGGTTTGTTTTTATAAGCTGTCAGCACTCAGTGACACCCTGAGAGAGATCCTCTACTCAGTGCCCTGACTCACCGCCACCCAGAAGCTTCATTTCTGTATTAGATTGAGAGATCAAAGACCAAATAATGAAAGAGAAATTGGTATCCTCCAGATACTCTGAAGTACCAACAAAGACCTGAGTTAATGACGTCGAATTTGTGGAATTCAGTCAGGTTACTACCAAAGTCCTAATAAAGATCCTTCCTCACTGTAGCAAGACTGGGAAAATAGGAATTTAAATTACAAAGGTTATCCCACCAGACTAGACACAAAACAGCAATATTCAAGCTGATTAACCCTTATCATCCCACAAAAGTGTCCCCATAAAAATCAAATGCTTAAAAAACTATTAAAATTACACAATGGAATATATTTAAATAACTTTGCACACAACACACCCTGCATTCACTGTTACCAAGAGAAAGCTTCACCAAAACACTTCCACTTCCATGATATTGATACCACAGCACGAACATTTTACTCAGAAAAATGCACGAGATGTCCTCTTGAAACTCTTGAGTTGAATTATTTCTTTTAATCATCCATGACAGTTTCAGGAAAAAAAGAAAACTGCTTTCAAGTAGCCAAATTTACTCCCAAGGGGGTGTCGGGGAGGAGGAACCACCTTATGCTCGCTGCTGTGAGGGCGGGGTCTGACCCGTTCCAAGTTACGAGGTCAGTAAAGTGGAATTCCCAGCCGAAGGAAACTGGGATTTTCATTTCCCTTCCAGTCTCTTCTGGAAACCGCACTGCTGTCCCTGGCCGTCAGCCCCTTCACTCAGTAATCCTGCAACCAGACAGACGTTGTTCGTTCCATCAGACCTTTCACAAGGCTCATGATATGAGGGCGTGAGGACAGCAGAGTCGATTAAGCTCCCTTCTTGGAAAGTACTACCTGATTTTCATGAAACCTTTGCTCCCCGCCGCCCCCCGAGCTGAGCTCACACAGTGCGTGGGCCTACCAGGTGCGCGTGTGCTTGGCAGGCAGGCCAACAGCTCTACGTTTCAATCTGAAGTGCCACTTTGACAGCTTCGGCACTCCCTCAGCCGTGCGGAAAACTGCCGCACCAGCGCTCTCAGCGGGGCAAGTATTCAGGACGCTTTTAAACGAAACACAGGCACGTCCCCGCAGCTCCGAGAGCAGGCCGCGTGCACCCGTTCTGACCTCCGTCAAACACCACTGTTTGCAAGACATAAAAACCCACACTGTTGCGTGTCGTTCTGATGTGTCACATTATGTCACATTGCTCTGGCACTGATTCAGAAAGAAAAAGTTTCCACTGTGGCATGATGAAGGGGGAAAAAGTCCATTATGTATGAAAAGATGGTTGAGAACAACGTACTGTGACTAGCTTCCAGAAGCTTGCACTTCTCGGTAAAATCAGTTCATGTTTCTTGTGAAAAATCTCTCCTATCTTTCCCGTCACAATTTGCTTTCATACGGTAGAGAGAACAGACAAAGCTGACCAAGACCAAATTTTAGTGGCGGTATCATTTCCCAGGGCGCTAGAGGTTCGTTTTGCAAGTTGCTCATGCCACGCGAACCAAGATATTCCTGGCATGAGGAGGAGGACCCTAGGCCGTTTCAGAAGCAAGCGGGGTCTCGCATGTTTAGATTCAACTGTTAGTAAGACGTAAATTTAGGGTGGTGACAAATAAGGGGCAACGAGGACACACACACACTACACAGAGAACAAATTTCACCTTCCTCATGAACGATACACGTTAAGAGCCCAGGCAGAAAGACGTGGAAAGGTGGCCTATTCCATGTCCCGAGGGAACCAGCGTTTAGAAAGCACATCCCAGTGACTTTTGTTATTTCCCGCTCAACCTCCCAGTAAATGAAGTGGGAAAACGCACAACTGCGCCCGTGGTTGTAGACAGAAGTGGCGGCGGCAGCGGCAGCCTCTCTGAAGGCTTAATTAACCCTCAGATGGACCTGAGTGAATGTTTTCCACTCTCATTGATTCTATCCCTTTAGCTGCTCTGACCAGGGGAGGAGCAGCGTGGGGGGAACTCACGCTAGAGCCTTTGTCAACAGCGACACCTCTGAGGGACCTTTGCAGTCTTGGATCGATTTATCTAAAAATCTTTCGGGCTCCCTCCTCCCCAGTTTTTTAATGGACCTACAAAAGCACGCTCAAAAGCTCCCTAGGACTAAGAGACTCCCGAGCTAACCTTGGCGTGTGAATATGGAAAAAATTAATTCCTCGATATTTGTCCTAAGACTTTGGAAGGAGGCACAGTCCACGGAGTGCTCTGCTGCTGTGCCCTGCAGCCTGGGCAGCCAGGGGGCAGGACCTGCAGCCTTACAGCCACGCAGGCCGACAGCACCCGCAAGACTCCTCGTGGGCGCCTCCCGGCTCTGCCCACCCAGCAGGAAAGGCTGCCGCGGAAGCGCCCTTCTGGGCTGCTGAAGTGAAGACACGAAAAGCCATGACCAAAGGGCCAAACCTGCTTCAAGATGCAACTCTGTGGAGTCAGAACGGGTGCAACACTGGCAATTTCTGCAAGTCAAAGGCAGCCCACCGCACTAAACTAAAAGGAATACAGAACAGTGTATAGAGAAAAGTGAATTACACAAGCAGAATCTCTCCCGATCTCGGATCTGGGAGTCTTCCGTAGAGAAAAGCCAAAGCCAACTTCCCTGGGTCTGAGAGACGAAAATCCTGCGGAGAAGAAGAGGGTATATGATGCGGTGACCGTCCTGAGGGAGCCCTGAGCCCTTCAGGATGGATCACTACAGGGGCTTACTATGGCTGTATCCAGTAAGGAAATAACAGGCTTCTTTTTTAAGAAAGTGGGAAGAGAAAAGCAAAGACTTTCACAACTTAAAAAACTGCTTATAAAACAATTACTTAAAACGTTCACTGGGGCTGGGTGGAGAATAAGGACAACGTCTTCATTTCCAATTAGTCACAACGGTGCCGACGGTCTATAAAAGAGGACGGCCGATCTCCGGTCCCCCTCGCCCTCACCCCAGCGTTCCAGAGCCTCCTACTCCTGACATTTTCCCTACCCTCAGCCCAACCCACCCCCATCCTAACCCCAAATTAACCTGCCCCGAGCCGAGCCTGAAGACACATGATTGTTGGTTGGGTTTCAATTTGACAGTGAACCTGATGCTGGGGAAGGGCACAGGGGAACGCTGGCGCAAACCCCGAGGTGCGCAGACCTTGGGCAAAGCTTCTGATGGCTGATGTGGGCAGCACCTGCCCTGCGGCCCAGGCTGCAGACTGAGCTCCGCTGCCCGTAGGCTGAGGTAAGGAAGGACACGGTGGCTCTGGCTGGTGGCTTCCCGAGACACTGTGGCACGTGTGGGCTCCTGGGTGTGAGCACCACAGGGCTCGTTTTCTTCCAGTTGCCTCTGCCGTCTTCCCCTCTGGTTAGAAGCCTGCTCTTTATAGAGTCCCCCAGAGATCAGCCCCTTGTCTTCCTCTGAGGTATGAATCCAGTGGAGCCTTGACTCCAGAGATCCAGAGCCGCCAGCGTGCAGGAGTCAGAATGAACGGTGCGGCACACCTGCCCAGCCAGTTCATCAGCAGTTGTATAGACAGATTGGAAAAAACTAGCATTTAATATAAAAAGTGTTCTTCAAATGGTGTAATTCCCTATCCTCCTCTGGAGATCATAATTCTTCATGTTTCTGAGGTCCTACGGAAAAGGAGAACGATTGAAAAGAAAAGGAATTATTGTCAAGTTATAAAAGTACAGACTAGGGACTTCCCTGGTGGTCCAGGGGTGAAGAATCCGCCTTCCAACGCAGGGGACGCGGGTTCGCTCCCTGGTCGGGGAACTAAGATCCCACACGCCACGGGGCAACTAAGGCTGCGCGCCTGAGCCAGCGTGCCACCAACTACAGAGCCCATGTGCCCTGGAGCCTACGTGTCACAACTAAGAGCCCACAGGCTGAAATGAAAGATCCCGAGTGTTGCAACGAAGACCCGACACAGCCAAAAAAAAAAAGTACAGCCTAGGCATTTTCTGGTACGAAACCTATTATTTGTGCCCCTACCTCTGCTGTATCTCTCTTTTTAAATTTTTAGGAGCTTTGGTTTAGTGTGTTTGTGTTATATTTTGAAAGCAAAAACAAAGTAAAAAAGACATTTTTATCTTTAAGAACATGGAAACTACCTGCATACCCCTAACTCCATCTAAATATTGTTTTCACAAGTACGATATTTACTTCTAGGAAAAATGCACATATTTTTAGTCAGGAGTCTTCTTTTTTCACTTAATAACATATAAACACTTCCTATGTAGCAGTGTAGCTCATTTACTATTTTCTATTTTTGGGTGTTTAAAACTGTTTTTTAATGCCTTTGGTTTACAAGTAATAATAAAATAAATTTCTCCATGTACATAACTTTCTTCTTGCATTGAATTATTTCTTTCAAGGTAAATTCTCGAGAGAGAAAGTACTGAGGATATAAGCACTTTAATGGCTCCTGACGATCGACTGCCTGCCCTCTAACAAGGATTGTTCTAGTGCACAAAGCTTCAGCAAGGTTCACCCACAACAGGTTCATCACCATCTCCCCCAACAAATGGCATTATCAATATGTACGCTTTTTTCTATGTAGCATGTATTAATGATAGATTCCTTTAATTTGATTTTTGTTTCCTCAAATTCATTTATATTTCTGTTTTCCTCTTATTTAAACAGTATGTCTACATTCTTTGCCATTTATCTACGGAAATTCTTGAGGTTTTACTCATGAACTTAATTATTTTTATGGTGAATATCCAACCTTTTAGCTGTGATTTTAATATCATGCCATAGTCTTCAGAATCACTCAAGATCCATGTTCTATAATTTTTTTGAGAATTCGTTTTGAGCTGAATACATTAAAATCCAGAGCCCAGCTTATTAATGGGTTTACAAAAGGTCACTTTTGTATTCTAATGATTTTTTTAGATTGGCTACCATCCGAGATGTACATACAGTAGGGAAAACATTATATGAAGATTTAGTCCTCAGAATACTTTTTTCAAATCAATACGTTCTCTGTCTTGACCCTAAATGTGTTCATTCACTAGGAATCTGACAAGAGGTCCCCCAAATAATGGCAGGTTTGGCTTATGTATCACAAAACTCATGAACCTAAATAACAATAATCACAATGAAAGCAGTCTTTCTTCAAAAAAGAAAGAAAGAGAAAGAAAGAAGGAAAAAAGGGCAGCAATTGCATTAATAAATACTGTTTAGAACCCAACTGAATAAGGAAAGTGAACAATATACACTAGCAGATGTCAGGATGGAAAGATTACATAACTGTTTCTTCTAGTCCTTTTATTCCTTATTCTGCTTTTGCAACAAACAGAAATTAGACAGGCCAAGAAGTACTTGCCTAAAGCCAAGAGGCTGTACGTACCTTCCCGGCTCGGTTCTTGTGCCGGTGTGTCTTTATGAAGTGCTCCCGATTCCTTCTCCTCCTGAAAGCGTGTCTGTAGCTGTTTGATCTCCTGATCATAGTCCTGCCACTCTGGGACAATTCGAACAGCGGCCTCCAGCTTGGGCTCTTTGGTCATTGGATTATTACACTGTGAAAACCAAAATAACACACTTCAACTGAGCTGAAGGAAGGGTATGTTACACAGAATTCAAAGGTGTTTCTGTTCTTGGGTTACGGGTCCTTACTGGACAAAGAGAACAATACTGAGGAAGCAAACCATATTAGCAGAAGCAGTGTGGTAGTGAGTGGGCCGTACAAAGCTTCCGCAAAGAAGTTGTGGAGCGCTACTGGAAGGCAGGAAAAGAAACACTGGAAACATTACAAGGCACAGAGTGATCTGGAAGATCAGTGGTAACTTCACCAATTCTAAGTAGTGAAAACAACCCCATCACACACTGGAGGATTTGGCTTCCTGCTGAGGTTGCTGTAAGAAGTTCTGCAGTCCCTGAACTACACAGTTAAAGAGAATGACTAAATTATCTAGTCATCCATCAGACAGGACTAAGATGCAGAAAAGAGCCACCGACAACTTACCAAATCAATTGTTTTTGCCCTTTTCTTAGAGGCATCGTCACACCATGTTTCACACCAAAGCCATTCTTGAGGGAGGGATTTAATTGGCACCTGGTGGATCATGTTATTGGGCAAATCCTGTTCGGAAGAGAAGATAAAACACAACAATCTAAAGTTCTAGGGTAATAAACAACAAGGTCCTACTGCAGAGCAGAGGGAAGTATAGTCAATATCCTGTGATAAACCATAATGGAAAAGAATATGAAAAAGAAAAAATATACATATGTGTAACTGAATCACTTTGCATTACAGCAGAAATTAACACCACGTTGTAAATCAACTATACTTCAATAGAATATAAAAGAAAATGTTTAGAAATAAAGTCCTAGGGGAAATTTAAATAAATGCACAGCGAATTAGCTGTTCATTACATATCACATGTCAATCACAAATTTTTAAAACAGAAAAGAGTCCGTACCAAAAACCTTAGAGAAACTAAAATATTTATTTCCGGTGTTTTTAAAAACCACAAAGTTTAGAGGATCCATAAAACATCTACCCACAATAAGCATCTGAAAAACTTTAGCTTAAAACTCACAAACAGCCTGCACCTAGATTCCCTCCATGAGGGCAATTCTAAGAAAAACACTACTGCCTTCTAAAAGCCAATTAAGCATCGAGTGTGGCTCTTGTACTTCAAGGGTTTGCTTCAATTAAGGAAGCTCTGAATCCACCTTGTCTGCTAAGGCTTGATCCCAAGTAGATGAAGCCCACATGTTTTCTAGCCAGCTGTACTCTATGCTTTGAAGCTTTTCTCTCAGGAAAACTTGTGCGTTTGACACAATAAAACGTTCCATTGTCCAAAGACACAAACAACCAATACGATCCGATAATTTCACTTCTGGGTATATACACAAAAGAACTGAAAGCAGAGACTCAAACGGATACTTGTACGCCGATGTTCACAGAGGCATTCTTCACAAGTCAAAAGATGGAAATAAGCCAAATGTCCATCAACAGATGAATATCCAAACAAAATGTATATACATACAATGAAATATTATTTGATCTTAACAGGAAGAAAAGTTAGGTACATGCTACAGCATGGAGGAATCTTGAAAACATTATGCTAAGTGAAATAAAACAAACACAAAAGGAAAAATATTGTGTGATTCCAAAAGTACCTGGAATAAGCAAATGCATACTGACAGAAAATAGAATAGAGGTTACCAGGGGCTGGGGGCAGGAGGAAAGGGAAGTTAACTGTTTAATGGGTACAGAGTTTCTGTTTGGGATGATGAAACAGTTCTGGAGATGGACAGCTGCACATTGTAAATGTACTTAATCCCACTGAACATTTAAAAATAGTTAAAATGGTAAATTTTACCGCAGTAAAAGATAATCAAGGTAAAATACAGCTACTTTCGGACAACAAAAACTGAATTTGTTACTAGTGAACACTAAGTAAAGGACCACCTTCAGGCAGAAGGAAAATGATCCAATATGGAAGCCCAGAAATGCAGGGGAGAATGCAGAGTAACCCAAAGGGTAACTATGTTAGTTCAAATTTAAATAGATACTGACTGTATTAAACAAGAAGAATAACTTCTTCTGGGGTTTAAAATATAGACAGATCTAAAATACATGGCAACATAGTATTTAGGTTGAGATAAGGATAAATGGAGTAATGAGTTCTAAGACAATGACACTCAAAATGTAGTCTGTGGACTGGCAGCACAGAGTTTGCTAGGAATGCAGATTCTAAGGCCCAACCATATACCTACTGAATCAGCCTGTGGGGGATGGGGCCCAGGGCTTAAGGCTTTAATAAGTTCTTCAGGTGATTTTTTTTTATATATGCTAAAATTTGAGAAGAACTGTTCTGATGTTTTTGCACTGTCTGGTAGATGAGTAAAATACACTAATTAACATTAGCCTTTGCAAAGTCAGAAATGCATACTGTAATCTCTAGGCTAATCATTAAAAAATTACTTTAAGTGTATAGTTTAATAGAGGGAAAATGGAATTATGAAAAAATCCTCAATCAATCTGAAAGAAACTGACAGGAGAAAAAAGAAATACAGGACATATGGAATAAGCAGGACTATGGAGAAGCCAAACTTGCTGGTGATTACATTAACTATAAACGGACTAAAGTTCAAATTAAATGACTGTCACAACCACATGAAAAAACAAACCAATATAAGCTATTTATAAGAAACAGAACTAAAACGTAAGGATAAAGAATGATTGAGGGGCTTCCCTGGTGGCGCAGTGGTTGAGAGTCTGCCTGCTGACGCAGGGGACACGGGTTCGTGCACCAGTCCGGGAGGATCCCACATGCTGCGAAGCAGCTGGGCCCGTGGGCCATAGTCGATGAGCCTGCACGTCCGGAGCCTGTGCTCCGCAACAGGAGAGGCCACAACAGTGAGAGGCCCGCATACCACAAAAAAAAAAAAAAAAAAAAAAGAATGATTGAGAACAGAAGGATAAAAAAATATACCATGTAACACTAACTAAAAGGAAAACCAGCGTAGCTGCACTAATACTAGATGAAGCACACTTTAAGCCCCTGCCCAAAAAGCATTAACAGAGATAATAAAAGGTTAATTTGTCAGACATATATATGACTTCTAAGTTTTTAGGCACTGAATGATACAGTCTCTAAGCACATCAAGCAAAATTTGACAAAACCAAAGACAAGAAAGATTTCACAACATGGAAAGAGATTTTAGCACAATTCTCTCAGTAACTAATAGAAAAACACACAGACAAAACACACACAACAACATACCACTAAACCTCACCTAATGGACATACACAGAAAAACATTACACCTAACATCTGCAGAATATGAAACCAGTTGAAATGTTTACCAAAACTGATATCTGGGTCAGCTCAACAAGCAAAGCTCAACAAACTTCAAATGGCTGAGATCATACACAATACTTTCTCAGACTAGAGCAACTGGGCTAGAACAAAAAAAAACCCTGGAAAATCTCCATGTACATAGTGAAAGAAACAAGAGGGGAATTAAAATATCTATTAATGAAGGCAGTAATGGAGGAACTGAGAAACACAAAAGACATATAGAAAACAAGTAGGAAATTGGCAGATGTAAATCCTACCACACTAATAATTACATTACATGTAAAGGGATTAAACTCTCTAACTGAAAGCCACATGGGCTGCCAGCTCACATCTAACAATTTAACAGATTAACAGTAAGTATTACTCAAAATTACATAGAGCATCAGGAATTCTTACACTGCTGATGGGAGTATAAATCAGAACTACTTTGGAAAACTGTTTGGAATTATCTAGTAAAGATAAAGATGGACCAATCTGATGACCCAGCAATTCAACTTGTAGTTGTACACACAATTGAAAGACGTATACATGTGCATAAACGATGATCACAGCAGCATTATTTGTAGAAGACAAAAATGGAAAACAACCCAAATGTACAATAAACAAAACATGTATACCACTTCACACAACAATACGGATGAATCTCACTAACATAACATTAAGCAGAAGAAGTTAGACTCAAAAGAGTACATCTTGTATAATCCCACTGAGACAGGCAGAAAAAAACAGGTAAAACTATAGTGTTTAAGGATACATGTGTAAGTAGTAATTCAATACAGAAAAGCAATGGAGAGATTACCACAAAAGTCAGGATGCTGGATACTTCCGTTAAAGAGGGTGGCTTCTGGGATGCTAGTAATGTCGTATTTCTAAAACCGGGTGGTAGTACATGGGCATGTGCTTTGTGTAATTCACTGATGCATATGAATATGCAAATATTTATAAATTTTTGTTTTGTACACTCACGTTTCTTTATGGGTGCTATCTATCACAAATGCTTAAAAATGTTTAAGGCAGACTTAAGCAAAACAAAATATGTGAAACTATGTATCTAAAACGCAAACTATAATCTCACCTCTAAAAAATGTTTAGCATTAATAAACAGTGACTCATCCAAACTTCTTAAAAAACACCATGGTTGCTGATATGGGAAAAAATGGGAAATTACGATACTATATTCTATGCTGTGAATCCTGAGCTAGTTAGTTCCTAAAGAAGAGAAATACACTGACCCTAGTAGGCAGAGAAACAAATTGATCAGATTAGCTGGGTACAAAACGAAAAGATAAGGTAATGGTTCTGAGTGGCAGTGTCCTCCTTCTATCTCCCTCCCCAAACCAACCTCAGGCCCGTGACATTTTTCACCATTATGTCCTCTCTTGAGGACAGATAAAAATGTCACACACACACACACACACACACACACACAAATTCCTTTCCATGAAGACACAGAACACTGTCCCAACAGAGAAGTGAGAAGCAAATACTACACTTCATTTTCCGACACAACATTGTATACCCATCACTGAAACGGTTAACCAAAAAAATGGCCACTTACTTGATCGAGATTTGAAAGGCTGTTAGGATCCTGACTCAGACCTTGGTACTGTCCCCTGAGTCTGTCACCAGCAGCTATTTTCCTAAACTTCTTCAGATCCACGACATACAATGCACTGGACAGAGAAAATCCATTTGTTATAACCATGGATTATCGCAGGAAAAGTAACCACACTGATTAATGGAACAGATCACTAGGCAAACATTCTGGCTTCTCTTTGAAAAGGTAAGCTGAGGTCTACAGTGGAGCTCAGAGTCAGTCTGTGCTACTTCAAAGATGGCTAAGGAAGTTATCACAAAATCCATATTCTGGTACCACGAGCTCACTTTGTCACTGTTCTTTAAGTAACTGCCTTCCAAAGGAAATCATCTCTGACAAAAGATTCCTAGCAAATGTCAGCAGATTTGGTAATAAAGACTGATAACCATTAGTTGAAGATATCCTGATGATGTCTTAAATGTTATAGGACAAGAAAAAACACCCAAATGTTACAGTTCTTTTGGACCAAGAACATAAAGTACAATACTGAAATCACCACACCCCAACATTTATCTCTACACATGCTGCTTCCTACATATCCCCCTACTCTCCAAATCACACTCTGCCCAGAGAAGATAATGTAGAAAAGCAACAAATGCCCAACAGATACATTCACTGTTTAACCTAGGAGTTCTAGGAATTTGTCCTACAGATATACTTGAAATATACACAATTATGTATTTAATTATTCACTACAACATTGTACGTCATAGGGAGACCATAAATAATATATATACTGGAATAATATGTTGATGTAAAAAGGAAAAAGGTCTCTCTCCACATGTGGATATAAAGTCTACTAGAGACATCAAGTGAAAAAAGCAAGGCACAAAACTATAAATAGGATAGTATATATTTTGTGTAAAAAAGAAGTCACAGTTGTTTACCTAAGAATTAAGAAAGTCTGGAAGGACACACAGTAAATTAATAGAGGATTTTATCTGTTGTGGGAATGGGAACTGGGAAGAAGGGAGACAGAATGGGGAAGATTTCTTTTCACTGTGTATTGTTTATAATTTTTATTTCTGAACCACATTAATGTATTACCTATTCACAACTTTAAACATACAAAATTACTTTTAAAGAACATCAAACAACAGCATTAGAAGCACTCCTTCTTTGGCACCTGATATGATACTTCCGCCCAGATAAGTGACTGGCCCAGTAGCCTGACTTCCAGAACCTGTAGCCGTCCATCTCCCTGCGGCTGTCACAGAAAGGAGTGTAACCATAGGGAGCACCGTCCAAACTGAAATCTCGCAGCTCTTTCAAATCTGTTCGCACAATCTGAAGAAGAGAGGATCACAGTCATCTGTTAAACAACCATGCAGACAGCAGGGTCCAGGAGATACGGCGGGGAGCTCAGCGCTCAGCGGCACAGGCAGGAGACCCAGCTCGAGCCTCGCTTCCTCCGCTGATTAGGCTGACCGCCCTCACTAGCATGTCAAGACGCTTAGCCTGGTGCTTGGCACAGAGTATTTCCAAGCATTCAAAAAAAAAAAAAAGCAGAAATAAAACAAATTAATAATTGATACATTGCACAGCCTCTCTGTGACTCAGTTTCCTCATCTAAAATGGAGATCTCCCAGGGTTGTTGGGAGGATTACATGAACTAACGGGGAATGATGGGGAATGACGCCTGGCACACAGTAAGTGCTCAGCAAGGATTAAGTGTGATTATATTAGAACTAGGAAAGCGTGCTTCAGGTTGAGCCAGTTGCGATATAAGTGAGCCAGAGGGGGCAGAATTCCCAAGAGCTGGATGAAGCTTTGTCCAAATGACTTGCACACATTACATCACTTCCATTCAGATGAGGAACTCAGGTTTCAGCCAGCTCAGGATAAGGAGAAAGGCTGTAGGGTAGAGGTACATTTACACTTTTTGAGTTTGTATGCTCTAAAATTTCTAAAATTAGAAATCTTAATTTTCTAAAATTAAGTGTGTTCCTTTTAATTAAGTCAAATCTTGACAGCAGGATGACCTTCTGAAGAGTTCCACATTATCAAGGCCACCTACTTGCACTTCCTCTCGCTTACCCTTGTCAATAACTTCTAGCTTTTGAGCAAATAATTGGAGATGATGGCAAGCACTGTGCTAAACTGATGTATTTTCCAATTGTTAGTTTGTACGTTAAATGAACTAAATTTAAGATACAAAACTGCATACACAATGCAATCACAACCGTGTAAAAGAGGCAATAGGGACAAAGATGAAAAGGAGATATGTCGAATACAAATTTTAAAAGTGATCACATCTGGGTGATACATTTCCATATACTCTAAATAATGTAAACTAAGCATGTATTTTTCCATAATTGGAAAGATAAAATCATTTAAAAAAGGAAAGGAAGTCCAATGCCTTTAATACAAACTGCTGAAGCGCAGTCGCTAAGAGCTTACCTGATCGGCATCCACAAACAGGAACTTGTCAACAACCAGCGGGAAGAGCACATCCAGGAAGAGGATCTTGTAACCCCAGATGATGCGCTGCTTCTCAGTCTGCTGATGAAGCCACCGGGGCCATTTGTACTGAACAAGCTCATACTGAAAATTGTATTTGTTTGCCATGTAAGGTATAAACTCCTATTTTGAGATACAGGGAACAACAATCATTTACTTTGATTAAGAAAAACAAGTAAGTCAACCAAGCACGATCATGGCACAAGTAAAACACATTTACCCTATCAGTGGTCTAACGAAGAAACGTGACCCTGACTCACTCGTGACTACATAAAAGAATACATATAAACTTTTGTCAAATCCCCATTTTTTATGGCTTCTAATCACCACATGAGATGACAGAAATCTTTAAGTGAAGGCTTTTAGATAATTAATTTGTGTCTGTGTGTCTGTGTGTTTAAGGGAAATGGACTTTATCTGTCGAAACTTGACTTCAGTAGAACATTTTTTTGAGCTTGATTTTAAGCCCTTCTCACCACTAGGTCTAGCCCGGGGAATGACACAGCAAACCCAAGTACTCTGAACAAGGTTGCTGCCGTTAAGTCTTTCAGATTCTACATGTAAGTACTTTCAGGGGACCAGAAGTGCATCGCTTCTCTCGGAGAGATATTACTGAGTCCATTAAAAGCTGCTTGAAGAACAACAACAACAAAGATGCACATAAATCAATTTCGATGACAAATACTAACTGATACAAAGCGGAAAGCTTTCCAAGCGTGTTTTTGTTTTGCACAGGTGATCCTTTACTTCCACAGGTCACTGGGTAGTTGTTCATGACAGAACTAACCATCCTTCTCACTGGAAACCTGTACTGTGCTTTCTAATTAAGCAAGGGCATGCGCGCTCAGAGGAGGAACGTCACTCCATGAAACCGAAAGATACAGACTCTCCTCCCATGTTATCCAAGCTTCAAATAAGTCATAATTTTGTGTTCAGTGTTATAACAACTATTCCCCCCAAACAGACCAGTCTGGAAGAATAATCAACATTGAATTATGCGGGTGAATCAGGGTAACCAAATACAAGGAAAATTTTTAAATCATACACATAATGTAGAAGTAGCAAAAAGTATATCACACTGTACGTATGTCCTTACTAGGAATGTTTTCCTTTTCGAAGCCTGAGAAACAAACCTTAAACGTGGGGGACAAGTAATTCTTCAAGAACCAGAATTTCACAGGAGTCTTGGTATTCTTCAGTACTGATAGCATCATTATGCTGTCAAACAAAAGCAAAAAATAATAACAATTGTCCAAATCTTTTCAATCTCAACAAAACCAAGGAGAGTCCATCAAGAGACCACTCAGTGTTCTTTGTGGCAGAGCTAACTGGTGGCTCAATTAGGCAAAGAGAGACCCTGAGTAGGGGACAATGGAAAACTGCCCTTATTCATCTTTACAGTGTTATCACTGGATGGGAAAGAAGGAATACTTATTACCTATAGTAATATACTGAACTGATAGAGGCACATGTTTTAATTACGTTACAGCTTTAAATAAACTGCTTCATGAACTGACACGTTAGTTAGGGTACAAATGAATCCTGGAGGCTGTGCTTAGCTGAGGACATCACCCTAAAAAGAAGCTGGAAAAGCCCGGTGGCTCTGCGTCACGGCACTGCCCCCCACGGCCTGGACGGGGCCTGCCAGGGAGGAGAGCGGGGCGAGGTAAGGGGACGGCAAGTGGTTACAGCTTCAGGATTCCCTACTTTGGAAACAAACAAAAGCAAATTTTGAGTCAAGGAATTTAATTAAATTCAGTTGTTACTGACATCTGACATTACTATTCTAGGTCAGATATTATTTCTTGGGAATATGAGGGCTAAACATGAGTAAAACGACATCTTGACTAGATTTGTAGTGGAAAATTACAAGGAAAAAGAACCCTGGCATTAGGAAAGTTACTCTCAGGCAAAGGCCTTCCTGACCACTGACAACAAGACGCCCTGAGGGCCTTTCCCCTGGCGACCGTTGTGTCAACCAGCCCAAGCCTGTGCCTCTCCTCCACTCTGGCTGTGTGACCGCAGGCGAATCCTTCCACCCTCTGAATCTCAGCCTGTCTATAAAACGGAATTAAGATCCCTCCTGGCTCTAACATCCTATGAATCTTCAGAAGGCAGGTCCATGGCCCTATTCCACCTCTATTCTCTATGTTAACCTCCTAATTTCCGGTTTAAGCGATGCTTGGTGGACAATTAAACACCACTCCTTATGATGTGTGCACAGTGATACTGAAATATGTTTATAGCCTTGTAATAGGTACACAGATGCATTTAGCTCCCCTTCATGAGGCTGGCTGGATCAAAACAAATACAATTATATATGGTAATCTAGTCACAATCCTTAGAGTGTGTCAAATACACAGAAGTATAACAGGCAGAATCCCATAAAACACGTACTCCCTAAATAAGAATCCTGTAACAAATTCATGCACACATTCTGAAATAACCAACATGACTAACCGAAGAAATCTTTCATAGAGATGACCAGATGCGACAGAGAAAATATTAATTATGTCATCTTTCTCTTGCTTCACTTCCTCAGTCTTCTGTCCTCCTGTAAAGCCCCTATAACAAGAAAGGTAAAAACAAGAACACTTGAAACACTGATACAGACACACTGCCCTTTAAGGGGAGAGGGAAGGAGACGGTGCTTCCCCATCCCTGTTCCTTCCCGAGAGCGCAAGGCCGGCAAAGGCAGCCCACAGGACGAGAGGTGGGGATGGCTGCCCAACGAGAGGGAGGCTGCCCACAGGGCCTCGTGTAGCTTCAGGAGAAGACTGGACACAGGCTAGTCCACAGAATGCAAGACATACAATGGAAGGTTAACTGAGCAATTACCACTCAGCTCTCCAAATAGCGGACAAAATCCAACAGCAGTCAAGAACTAGGGCACAGAAGTAACCCCACCATGAGGGGACGATAACCTCTTTCAGTTAATCAGTGGGAAACACTCATCTACTCTAAGTACAAGTGCAAGATTGCACAGAGCAGAATCTGAAAAGCCCAAACAGGATTATTATACTCAAGAGAAGGGAGGGATGGTGCTTATATATCAGTTTTTCCTTAAAAACATTATTTCTTTATGATGCCAGTTTACCATTTGAAGGAGTCCCAAAATCCAGATTCATTCTCATTAGTTCCGTCGCTCAGCAAGTCTTCATTCACCATGTCTGCCTTCTTCTGAACCTGCAATCAGTCACACGTGATGGATCTGATTTCCCCTACTGGGTCTAATAGGCATTAGATGATCTTCACCGGACGCACACTGTGAACACTGTCAGCACTAGGGAGGGAATGATCCCGCCAGCAGGTACAATCCGCCCCGAGTCCAGACGTATTCAACAAACTGTGCTCATCATATCACATGAAAATCTTGAGTGAGGAGATAGCAACCTCTTTTAATTAGACAATAACTGTTTTTGGTTTGAAAAACGGGCAGAGAACCTTATGGTCTGAGTAAAATCAGAAGCACAATTCAGCAAGCTAACTGCTAGTTCTAGGGAAAGAGGGCAGCACACACGAGCCCTAACTGTCAGGAAGGAGTCACCTCTTGTGACAGCCTTGTACCAGGGCTGACTAGTACCAACAGGGGTCGAATCTTCTCGACAGCACAGGGATCATTTTTCTGCTCGACCGTGTGCCGTCTGCTTTCAGTTTTACTGTGTATAATGATTATTTATCCCATAATACCTTTTACTTGAATTTAAGGCACTAGGAACTTCAAAATTCTGAGAACAGAAAGCAGAAGTGAAAAGAAATTAAATAATGCTACCATTTATTGCTGGTGTTGAAATTCTCATTGGCATTCTTTCCGGTCTTCTGAGAATAAAATCATGAATAATAATGTGAACTGTGGCTGTGCAAGCAAAGCAGTATCTATGAAAACATCTGATGCAAAACGAGACTTGTACTGCTCACTGAGATAACCCGAAAGGCGCCATCTCTCAGGTGAAGAAAGCCACAAACTCACATTTAAAAAGACATTTTGCATTTCAAGTGCATTCCTATAAACGCTACAGTAAAATTCCAAAGGTGAATTAAAGTCTTGGGCTGGTTTCTTTCTTTTTCCTTCAGCTTTACTGAGATGTAATGAACAAGTAACACTTGTAAATTTAAGGTATACAACGTGATGACTTGGTATAGGTATATATTGTGAATATATAATAACAGCACAATTTCTGGAGTTAACACATTCCATCACCTCACATAGTTTGGGGCTGGTTTCAAGATACGTATTTTTACATAACAGCTACTAAATACCAAGTTACTGCTACTTTCACTAACTTTAATAGAGTGGCTGCCTTAATATACCAAACTCACCTTCACTTTAATGATTTTGCTTTTGAAGGTGCTGAGGACAACAACAACTTCAGCGGCATCAGGTGGAGAATCTGTACCGTCATGACTTAGAAAAGGAAGGAAGGAAGGAAGATGGATGTCACAAACCACAGGCCTCAAAATGCAGTAAATGGTCTGATATCAACCCCCCATATCTGTCCATCGTCTTTATGTGATTTCTGAACAAATTATTTTCTCACAATCTGCAGGAAACCCCTTCAAGCTACGCAGAAGCACTTGTCAAAATCTCTATCCTTACACGTTGAGTGTGCCAATCGGTCACAGCCCAAACGTCCTTCTTGAGTCCCTCTTCGAATGACCTTCCATAGAGTGAGAGGCTCCCGGTGCTGGCAAGCACATCGTGAGCACGGAACCACTGTCTGTGTCCACGAGGTCTGAGCCAAGCACGGCGCCCTTCGATAAAGGAGCGCCTGGGGGCCTGGGCCCCTGCACCGTCACCGGAAACGCATCACTACTGCTCTGTAATGGGCAAGTAGCAAGACATGGCTCTACTTCAGAGTTTTGTAAACGCTTCTACTCTGTCCTTCCTGGAGGCACACAGCCAAGCCTAGGCCCTGCACTCGATCTGGCGCCCATCCTCTGGAGGAAGAACTCTAACGAGCTCTGTCTGCAAGCAGACAGGGCAGAGGAGGAAAAACTGAAAACAGTATTTCCCTACTAATCAACTGTAATGCCTAAAATTACCAGTCACCAAATTTTAATGTGATAACTACAGAAAGCCACGATAGAACATGAATTCACTGGATTCACTGTCATCCAGCAGAGAGCAAAGTTCTCAGGCAAAGGTGAGATCCTGACAGGGAGCATGAAACATTCCAGAGCCTGGGAAGCAAAGGGGGAAGAGAGCCCGCGACTGTGAGGTGCTGGCCACCGTAGGAGGCCTGGCCAGGAAAAGGGCACACAGCAGGGACGGAGTTTAGAAAGACCACACATAAGCTTTTGGGGAAAACATTAATAGGCGAAAACCCTACTACGTACAATGAAGATTTTACTATAATACAAAAATCTTCTACTTTCTTGGTAAGAAATATGCAGAAATCCACAAAGCTTTCATGTGGGTCAGTAAAGACTATGAAGCTACAATGAAGACACAACAGGATGATGTTCTCAAATAAACTCTAATGGAAATCATTCCCGAAATGAATTGGCATGAAGTCTTCTCACATAGCCTAATACTAATTTAAATTGTGTTAAGCAGAATTTAGATCACACCTTTTTAAAAGGCAGTATAATTTTTTTAAACTAAGAGTCACTTGTAGCAAATCTTAAAGCAAAAAGCAGGCTACCGACAATGCTCTGGGAGTACCTTCTGTACCACCTCAGACCTGGAAAGACAAGCGCTCGCACCAAGGTTCCACGGCCAAAGCTTACATGTCTTGTCAATCTGCAACTCACTCAGGGTAGAGAAATATACTATCCAGGGTTGAAAAATCTGACTGTTCTTCATTTCTTTTCTCCTTTCTTGAAATGACTCACTTTCTCATCTGCCTATGGTTTTCATCACAGTGACAGAATGATTTCATCCTGGGATACTGTTAGCACGAAAGAATGACCGAAGAGTCAAACTTGACTATATATATTGTTAGTATTTACACTGCTTGTTATCCAATTATACCCTGACAAGTCTCCCACATTTAATTTCCTAGAAAAGCACCGTTTCATCACACATACAATTGCAAATTAAATTCTTATTGCCTGGGTAACTGCCGGTGTAGTATTCAATTCAAGCTGATTCTCATTGCAGAATGTTCTAAAAAAAAATGTACCTGCATCATTTAATCCTACCTGTAGATTCTATAAATGTCTTCAGAACGTCCCTTCCTTAGTCTGAGAATCCAAGCTCCTGGGTTGGCTTTTAACTGAAAATAGCCCTAGGACAAGAAGACAAGACAAATTTTAGTGCTCTTAAAAACATCAAAATGCTGTTTCTGAGGGACAGTTATTTCTTTTTCTGAAATATCAGTCACCTTTATTTTAAATAAGATGGTTAACAAACGAATGCAACTCTTAAAATCTACATATTAGAAACACTAGCAAAATACTGGCCCGTCAAGCCAAGAAGCCTGCCCTTTAGCTGTACTTCAGTGAAGAAGCAACGCATGATGTGTGAATAAGCTTCGATCAAAAGGAAAAAAAAGAAGGGAAAAACGCTGTTGGCTCATAAGCAATACTTCTTCAGGAGCCAATCTGGTTAGAGTAGAATATTCTAGCATGTTTTCTTTTAAGTTGTCTTAAAAGAAAAAGTTTTTTTTAAGTTGTCTTAAAAAGAAAAAGAAAGTTGTCTTAAAAAGAAAAAGAAAGTTGTCTTAAAAAGAAAACTTCAGTCCATCATGAATTTTAATCTCCCTCATGTTCAGAATGCTAATTGCTCTATCATAAATCGCAGTGCCCAAATTAACATGACTGAGTATCACCACTGGATGTACTGATCGTTTACCAGATTAGCCATAACAATAGTGTCCACGATGACTGGCTGGGCTGAAGTTCCTAAGGTAAACTGCAGTCCCCGTGGGGGCTGGCCGGTGGTGATGTCATAGCAGTGACCTTCCAGTAACAGGTACTCCAGCTCATACTCAGCAGCCACTACGCTGTCCACCTGCAATATCACAATTAAATCACTTGACGACCACTCAGCAATAAAAAGAAACAAAGTACTGATACATGCAACAACATGGATGAATCTGAAATGCATTATGCAAAGTGAATGAAACCAGACATAAAGGGCAACATACCATATGATCACATTTATAAAAAATTCAATAAGAGGCAAAACTATAGGGATAAAAAGCAGATCAGCTGTTGCCTGGGGCCAGGGGGAGGAGGAAGGGTTACCTGCAAAGGGGCATGACAGAACCTTTTGGAGTGATGGACATGCTCTGTATCTTGATTGTGCTGGTAGTTAACGAGAGTACACAATTTTAGAAACTACGGTGGGTTGGAAGGAGAGTCAGGAAAAAGGACACAGAAAAAAACAATAAGGAGATTATTCCAAAAGTACAGAGAGGATAAGATGCTAATCTACAAGAGGAGTACTGGGGAAAAAGCATGTAAGGTAAAACTGCCAAATGGATGAACAGATCTAAAAGCAAATAATGGAGAAGACAGATAAAACAGTCCTACAAGGATCAGCTCATGTGAGAAAAGAGAGGAACAATGAGAAAGACCAGAAAAACATCAGAGAGCAATGCAAATTCATCTTGGCCTTTGGAATACAGCTGAAAATATTGCTATTCTAAATGCAAACGTCCAAGATGAATTTAATGGCTCCATAATGGCATAAAACCATTCACGTGCTGCACCGACTGCCTAAATTCTTGCTAATTTCTTGCAGAAAACAGGATACAACTACAAAGTCTTAGGGCAGCTTGGCTTTAGCTAATTGAAGAGTTTCTACCCCAGGCTAGCTCAGGCTTGGTTTTATGACCCTACCTAACCCTAACAGTGAGCTCCTTGGAGCTTAACATGTTACTGCAATGCTCCACATGCTCACGAGTCTCAGGCTCTGTATTTCCAATGGAGTGCAGAGAAACTGGAGGAAGCCTAAGAAAGAGGAGCAAAAACTCTGGGAGATACGGAAGAAACCTACTTTGTTTTCGTTTTGGGTTTTTTTTAAAAAAACATTTATTTATTTATTTGGCTGCACCTGGTCTTAGTTGCAGCATGCAAGATCTTCGTTGCGGCGTGCGGTAACTTCAGTTGCAGCAGGCGGGATCTTTTTTTTTTTAGTTGCGGCATGCAGGATCTAGTTCCCTGACCAAGGATCGAACCCGGGCCCCCTGCATTGGGAGCACAGAGTCTTAACCACTGGACCACCAAGGAAGGCCCCGGAAGAAAGCTGCTTTGCATCTGATCTATACTTCTGTGCACTGTTCTTTAGTGCTTTGTGTGGTCTCTTCAACAAGAGTTGGTTCCTCCAGGTCTCCCTATTTGTTAAAAATATGGTGTGTACGTATGTACACATACACACGCACGTGCACACACACTCTCTTTCTCTCTCTCTCTCCCTGCCACCAACTTAGTACCTAAGGGTTTCTACTTAAAGAAACTAGAATTATTCAACCTCATGATAAGAGGGCTGCTAATTCCTTTGGTAACTATCTTCAAGTTTCCAGTCTCCCAATTCCCAAGAAGACAGAACCAGAAAACAGGCTTCAATTGTAATAAGAGATATTTAAGGCAGACACAGAGACAAATGTAGTTAAAAAGGAAGGAGGCTCTGAGGCACCGTAAACTCCCTGGAAGTAAAGACCATGTCTTTTAATTCCTTTGTTAATATACTCTAAGCTAGGTGTAGAGTGAGGGCTGGGAAGAGACATCAGTGAAATGAAATTGCACTATCTTTGAAAATGGATTAGGGAAAAAGGACCACGTACCTTAGAGACTTCAAATACAGTTATATGGAAATAAATGAAACAGAGAACAGAAAAACAATAAAGAAAAACCAATGAAACCAATGGCTGGTTCTTCACAAATATCAACAAATGGACAAACTTTTAGCTTGACTGACCAGGAAAAAAAAAGAGAGAAGAGCCAACTTACTGAAATCAGCAAGGATAAAGGAAACATCACTATTCAATAAAAAAGACTATAAGAAAATGCTATGAATAACTAACTACATGCCAAAAAATTAGATAACCTAGATAGAATGGATAAATTCCTAAGAGACACAAACTTTGAAAACTGACTCAAGACAAAATAGAAAATCTAAACAGACCTACAACAAGAGATTGAATCAGTAATTAAAAAATTTTGCAGGGCTTCCCTGGTGGCGCAGTGGTTGAGGGTCCGCCTGCCGATGCAGGGGACACGGGTTCGTGCCCCGGTCCGGGAAGATCCCACATGCTGCGGAGTGTCTGGGCCCGTGAGCCATGGCCGCTGAGCCTGCACATCCAGAGCCTGTGCTCCGCGGCGAGAGAGGCCACAACAGTGAGAGGCCCGCGTACCGCAAAAAAATAATAATAATAAAAATAAATAAAATAAAATAAATTAATTAATTTAAAAAATTCTTTTCCAATCAGGCAAGAAAAGTATATAAAAGGCATCCAGACTGTAAAGAAAAAGTAAAACTCTATTTGCAGATGACATGATCTTATACAGGCTTGTATACTAAGAACTACAAAATATTGTTCAAAGAAATTAAAGACCTATATAAATGGAAAGACATCCCATTTTCATGGTGCAGAACACTTAATATTGTTAAGATGGCAATCTCTCCAAATTCATCTACAGATTTAATGCAATCCCTATTGAAATCCCAGCAGCCTCTTCTGCAGATATTAACAAGCCGATTCCAAAATGCAAAGAACCCAGAATAGCCAAAACTATCTTGAAAAAGAGGAACACAACTGGAAAACTCACACTTCCTAATTTCAAAACTTACTACAAAGCTACAGTAAATAAGACAGTGTGGTACTGGCCTAAGGACAGACACAGAGACCAATGGAGTAAAATTCAGAGCCCAGAATTAAACCTTCACATTTAGGGTTAACTGATTTCTGAAAAAGATGTAAAGACCATTCAGTGGGGGAAAGAATAGGTTTTTAAAACAAATGGTGCTGGGGCAACTGGATATTTACATGCAAAGAATAAAGCTGGAACTCTGCCTCACACCATATACAAAGACTAACTCAAAATGTATCTAAGAAGTAAAATGTAAGAGTTTTAAACTGTGAAAGACCTAGAAGAAAACACTGGAGTAAACCCTTGTGACCTGGGATTAAGCAACAGTTTCTTAGATATAACTCTGAAAGCACAAGCAACAAAAAATAGGTAAATTAGACTTCATGAAGATTAGAAACGTTTGTGCTTCAAATGACGCCATCAAAAAACTGAAAAGACAACCTGTAAAATGGGAGAAGACATTTGTAAAGCATGTATCTGACAAGAGACTTGTAACCAGAATATATAAAGAACTCTTACAATTCAACAATTAAAAGACAAGCCAGGGCTTCCCTGGTGGTGCAGTGGTTGGGAGTCCGCCTGCCGATGCAAGGGACGCAGGTTCGTGCCCCGGTCCAGGAGGATCCCGCATGCCGGCCCGTGGGCCATGACCACTGAGCCTGCACGTCCGGAGCCTGTGCTCCGCAGCGGGAGAGGCCACAGTGGTGAGAGGCCCACATACCGCAAAAAAAAAAAAAAAAGCCAATTTTTAAAAATAGGCAAAGGATTTGAATAGACATTTCTCCAAAGAAGATACACAAATGGCCAATAAACACATGAAAAACTATTCAACATCATTTGTCATTAGGACAGGAATGAAAAATGATGCAGTCACTTTGGAAAACAGCTTGGTAATCCCTCAAAAAGTTAAACATAAAATTACCATATGATCCAGCAATCCCACTCCTAAGTATATACCCAAGAGAAATAAAAACATATCTACGAAAACTTGTACACATATGCTCATAACAGCATTACTCATACTAGTAAAAAAGTAGAAACAACCCAAATGTTTATCAGTGACATATAAATAAATAAATAAATAATAAATAAAATGTGGTGTATCCATACAATGGAATACTATCTGGCAATAAAAAGGAGTGAAGTACTAATACATGCCAAAACACGAATGAACCTTGAAAATAATTTACGTGAAAGAAGCCAGTCACAAAATATATGACTCTATTTAGGTAAATGTAATAGAACAGGCAAATTCATAGAGAAAGAAAGTAGATTAGTGGTTGCCAGGGGCAAGGGGAATGGGGAGTGATTACTTATGGGTATGGAGATTTTTTTAGGGGTGATGAAAATATTCTGAAATTAGACAGTGGTGATGGCTGCACAACTCTGTAAATATACTATAACTACTGAACTGTGCACTTTACAAGGGTGAATTTTATGGTATGTGAATTAGATCTATTAGGCTGTTATTTATAAAAATACAATTACACCTGAACACTACTGTCTCAGAAGCCCACCTAGACTGTGATCCAGTCTGTTCAGTCAGAGACTACCACCGCTACATCTTCAACAGGCTTTACAGTAGTGGTTAGACACTGGGAAGCAAAGATAATTCTTACCTCTTCTAAGTAAATGTTATCAAGGTCATATGGCGTTCTGACAGACTCTACCATCCAACTTTCAGGTGTGTTCAAGTTCAGAGTGAACAGAGGAGACTGTGGCATATCCAAAAATTTTGCTATTGGACCCTTAGCAAAGCTATTGTCTGAAGTAAAAGAAATCTCTGCTTCCAAGACATAACGGTAAAAGCTGAAATGGAAAAGAAAGATGTGAATTTTTTTTCAATGCAACCACAGTCCTTGAGTTTATACGCATCCACACAGGTAAACAACTGCCTTAAGACAAATTGGATTTGGAAGGGCTTCCTTCCTTCCAGACTGAAAAAAGTGTTTCCAAAACTACCTCTTGACCTAAATGTACATCCTGTGGTTGTTGCAGACGGGAGAGGAGAGCAGGGGAGGTGGGGCTGGGAGGGGAGGTCCTTCCTTCCTGCCCTGTTGGGGGATGGGGGGATGGAGGCAGCCGCTGCTGGAGTCACAAGCATGTCCTGAGCACTTGCCTCCCCTGAGTGCTTGCCTCCCCTTGGTGAAAGAAACTCACTTTCCTCTCTCTCAAAAACAAAGTCCTAAATGGTGGCTGAGTTCTCGGGCGCACCCTGAAAACACTGTATGCAATCATTTAAACATTGCTCTTATCCGAGGATAATGGTGAAAGCTGGAACCCTTCCGTCACTTTCAAACACGGCTTCAATTCACTCAGAATCTAACCTATAGAAGCCAGCGCATTCGCAAGGTGGCAGTTTACCACAGTCCCCAGATGTGCTACACTATTACTACTGACTGCTTTCCAGGTGACCTGTTTCACAAATGACCATTCCAAAGCTCAGAGAGTAAGCAGATAAGCCTGCCTTCCTTTCAAGATACATGCAAATGAACCACATACATTCCAACTTAGAAATGACTGCTCTTCTAAGAAGAAGCAGTATATAGACAAGTGTCTTTCTACACCACAGCACATTTTAAGGTAAATTTAATAGCTACATTGATTCAAATGTTTTTAGAGAATTATGTAATTCTGACCAAAACAAAAAAAAGGAAAGAAAGCAAACCACAGGTGCAAGTGGCCTGGGTTAATTCCACTTTTTTTTTTTTTTTTTTTGGTCTGCGCTGGGTCTTCGTTGCTGCGCGCGGGCTTTCTCTAGTTGCGACGAGCAGGGGCTGCTCTTCCTTGCGGTGCTCAGGCTTCTCATTGCGGTGGCTTCTCTTGTTGCGGAGCACGGGCTCTAGGCATGTGGGCTCAGTAGTTGTGGCTCACGGGCTCTAGAGCACAGGCTTAGCTGCTCCGCGGCATGTGGGATATTCCCGGACCAGGGCTCGAACCCGTGACCCCTGCGTTGGCAGGCAGATTCTTAACCACTGCGCCACCAGGGAAGTCCCTAATTCCACCTTTAAGTGCTCCCACGCTCACACTAAGTTCTTAGAACTTTTGATTAGTTCTTAGAAATTTAGGAAAACTGAACTTCAAAATAAGTGATTTTTTTCAAATATGAGGTCCATATATAAACCCATTTTGATCCTTGACATTCCATTTCAGATTGAGTGTGATTTTTTCCAGGGGTTGATTTCTTAACACTTTGTTTTACCTTTTTAAAGGCATGTCGGAAAGTTTAGATTGGCAGTTCATAAACACTCTTAGATTCATGTTGATCAGCTGAGTTAAAACCTAAAAGAGCAAACCAGATGACAAAACATAAAAATTTTCCCTACAAAGTGACTGATATTTGAGATACAATATTTACATTGTCTCTTCAGAAATGTATCGACACTAAGTTAGGAGAGAGAACATTTCTTAATATCTCAAGCAAAAATACAAAGATAATAAATGTTATAAAGTCTGCACTGGATAAATCCCTAGAAATCACAGCTCTAGTGAACAATCTAAACCACACATACATATCACGTGGACAAAAACATGGGAAATAGGTCATTGCAAATAACTGCTCCCCACATATGTGGGGAAGCAAGACAGGCAATGGATATAGCTGTCTACATAAGGAAGAGTTTAAAGGTTCATCAGTGCAGCTTACAGACTATCATAGGAAAAAACACATACAAATACCCACAGAAAAGGTTAAGTGATCATATATTTCAATAAAACTTAAAAAAAACACAACTCAAAAAAAATTGAGGCAACTATATTTTTGGCAGAGTTCTTTTAAAATTTTTTAAGTTGCAATATCTTATAACATATCTAAAAGACATTCTGCAGGGAATTCCCTGGTGGTCCAGTCGTTAGGACTTGATGCTTTCATTATTGCCGAGGGCCCGGGTGCAATTCCTGGTCGGGGAACTAAGATCCCACAAGCCGTGTGACGCAGCCCAAAAAAAAAGACACATTACAAAAAAAAATGCTAGCTATAAGAAAGGAAAATGATAAAGCAGAATGCTTTTACCTTTTTACTCTTCGCCAATATGAAGTATGGCAAAAATAAATTTAATTCAAAGACATTTTGCTCTGAATAAATTTTTTTTCTTAGTTACATGAAGCAATCAACCAAACTTGTACCTACTTTCAGAGGTTATTAAATTGTTTTCAGAGCCATTACTAATCTTTATGAAAACATCTGCTCTGCCCAAGATGCCCTGTAGCACTTTCCAATGCCCTTTAAAGATAACTAAGGGAAAACGGTGCTCGCAGAGAATCTCAGGGTATGGGACCACTTCCGGTAAATACGATGTGACACAGATGACGGAAACTGCCTCTGCAGTTGTCCCTACCAAAAGCAACGGGGCAAGTCTCTGCGCTTCTCTGGTGACAGGGTCAACGACGGCCACGACATCAAAGTACGTCTCCCCTTCCTTTGGCCTCAGTTTAATTGCACTACAGAGATCAAAAAGATAAAACATTAATCTGGAGGCAAAGAGGAAACAGTTGATTTCTTTGGGGGGATGGGGTGGGGAGATGACATATCCAACACAACCAATCAGCCCTCTTAACATTTCAAAAAAACTTTAGATCTAAAACAAAAGGTTACATGGTGGTCAACTATGTGATTAGGTCTGCCACAAAGTTTAAAAACCCTCTAAAAGCTTCTGATGTTTGTTTTTGACAGTTACATTATGCCAATTTTTATTTCTTGGCAAGAAGGTTATGAGGAGAGAAGAAATTGACTTTTTTAAATAGTAAAAGGAGCATAAGAATATTACAGAAACTTGCGAAAGAGTGAAAAAGGAAATAAATAATCATAAAATCTCACCATCCCAACTCAACCATTTTGTGGCATATTTCTACATAGTCTTCCTTAAATGCCTATGTAAAGATGAGATCACCTACAGGACATCAGCAATTTTATAATGATTTCATTCCTTCCCCCAAAAGTTTTTTATAAAGATTTTTCCATGTTGTTATACATCAATATCCTGAATAAGAAATAATCTTCGATTTACCAAGTGAACCTGCTGTAGTTTACTCAAGCTATTCCTTATTGCTGGACATTTACTTACTTATTTATTTTTTAACATCTTTATTGGAGTATAATTGCTTTACAATGGTGTGTTAGTTTCTGCTGTATAACAAAGTGAATCAGCTATACATATACATATATCCCCATATCCCCTCCTCTTGCGTCTCCCTCCCACCCTCCCTATCCCACCCCTCTAGGTGGACACAAAGCACCGAGCTGATCTCCCTGGGCTATGCGGCTGCTTCCCACTAGCTATCTGTTTTACATTTGGTAGTGTATATATGTCCATACTGCTGGACATTTAGATGCCTTTCAACCTGTAAAGAACTTCTCACATCCAGTTTTTTTCACACTTGGAAATTTCTTGAGAATTAACATAGTCCTAGACATGAGATTACTGAGTCATAATGACACAAATATTTTTGTGGCTAATATGTCTCGTCAACCACATTTCCTGAAGAACTAAACAATTTTACAAGGCCAAGAAATGAACTTCACTACATCTTGTCAGCATTAAGTTATGCAATTTTTTGGTCTGTTCTTAGTTAAGTGAAAAAGGACAACTCCTAGGATTTCTGGGGAGAACATGCATTTCCCCACATGTAATTTCTAGTTACATGGCCTCCTTCTAAAGCCACTTTGACTTAGGTGGCTTAAGAGAAGCAGGAGCCTCTGATACATTTTAAAAAGGAATACACTTGAAAGGATTTAAAAATACATCCAATTTTCCCAAAACATTAATTGCTTAATCAATGCTTATCTTTGTTTACTCTGAACACTATTTTAATGTGGTTTTGAAATTAATCACCACTTTTATGCAAAAACATTTATCCAGTGGGATAAAAACAAAGTTCAAAACAGAACATAATAACTAATAAAACTGGGTAAACACAGTTTAAATGGTAATGAAGGTCATTTCAAATCTTAACTGTTTTGGAAACAACCGTCAGAATAGCTTTGTGACTGTACTGCAACACATGCTTTCAATTTGGTATTGATAATTCCAGCTACCAATAATTATTCCAATACATTTTTTTTCCTCTAATACAGCTGTTCTCAAAGTGTGGCTCCTGACTAGCAGCATCAGCTTTACCCAGGAATTTGTGAAAAAAACAAATTGTCAGGCCCCAACCCAGACGTACTGAACCAGCAACTCTGGGGGTAGGTCCAGCAATCTGCATTTCAACAAACTCTCTAAGTAAAAGCCAAAGTATAAGCGCCGCTGCCCTCAGATAACTTGGACCTCCTGTGGTACTCTAGAATCTAGAAGGGAGAGCGCATTAGAGAACAGCATTATACAAACTCTCCCAAAGGAAACGAGAAGAGGGGTCCCCAACAGTCCTCTAGAGCACAGCGTGTGGGTCAGGCCCCTAAGCCTGGCTGGTAGGGGTAGAGCTCTGTACGGCATACCCATGTCCTGAGCCACTGCTCTAGGTGACCCACAACAGACATCCTCAGAAACGGACCCTGTAAGGTCTTTTAACCACCCCCGCATCTCTGCAGCAAAAAAGAGGGCAATTCAAACACCAAGAAAAGAGGAATATTGGTGTGGAAACGGAGAACGATATAAACTGACAACACGATGTTTAAATATACTTGCTGTATTCATCAGAGAAAAGACCAGAATAAGGCTGAAAGTGACAGACACAGAAGCAACATTAGGGGAATCACCCACATTTTTGAGAGGTGAGTAGAGCAAACGTCAAGGAACGCAGCACTTCGCCAATCTTAAGGTACGCAGGAGTCACCTGGGGAATCCTGTTACAATGAAGATTCTGATTCAGGAGGTCTGGACTGCAGCCAGAAGACTCTGCCTTTCCAACAAGCTCACAGACAGTGCCCTGTTCCATGGACCACACTTTCAGGGAAAGGGTATACATAACCAGTAATTCAGACTTCTTGTTTCTTGCCTAAGTAAGAAACTTCTGACTTGAGTATAACAAACACTCATTTAACTAACACGACCCCAATAAAAATAACTTCTCTAATTGAAATTTGCATCATACTAGAATTTGTAATTAGGACATTTTAATTATATATGACTCATGGAGAAAACGATGTGCTAAATAGGGAAGAGGTCTAGCTCAGGTCTTGGCTACGACAGGCAAACAAGATGGCAGGTCAATTAGGAATGCTTCCTGTGGTAGTAACCAGACCATGTCACTTCCTGAAACCATACAGAGTAAAGAGAGGATGGTGCTAGTGGGTAACATCCAACCTGGGTGATTATTAGCAAGGAGCCACAGCCAGTGAGAAAGGAGAGGATCTCCATTCTAGCCTGGAGTCATTAGTTCAAATTTTATCCCCACATGGACCGGCTGTGAGAAAGCACAGGTCAATTAAACCAAAGTCCAACTTACTCCAGACTCATTAACCCAGAGTCACAGCGGAGCAGGATGCAGGCTTCTGCATCTAGAGCCTCCCTGGTGATCCTAAGGTGCAATCAGGACATACACCTTCCTGGATACATCAACTGTAGACATACTTCCTCAAGACAAGTTAACCTTAAGTCTACTCATGAGAAAACAACCCAGACTGTGGGACATTCCACAAGACAACTGGCCTGGACTCTCAAAAAAGTCAATGTCATAAAAGACCAAAAAAAACCAAAAAACACCCCCAAACTGTTCCAGCTTAGAAGAGACTAGAGACACAACAACTGACTGCAATGTGTGATCTGGACCAAACAAGCAAACAGCTGTAAAAAGTCATTACTGGGCACTGGAGAAATTTGAACATGGACCGGTATTACATAGTATTACTTTATCAAGGTTAAACTGCTGAGGTATGCTTAACAGTACGATGGAGATACTCCTAGTACTCAGGAGACATATGCCAAAGAATTTAGGCATGATATATAATGATATCTGCAACGTACTTTCGAATGGTTCTCCCAAAATGTGAGTGCATGTATGTTTGTATGCAAGCATATACTATACACACACACGGATAACTGTGGCACAATGACTACAATTGGTGAAGCTAGATTAAAGATATTTGGGTATTCACTATAATAGACTTTCAACTATTCTCTAGGTTTGAAACTTTTCAAAATAAAAAACTGGAAAACAAAAGACAAGGACTTCCTTATAATGCTATACTTATTTTTATTTTACTGAAAACAAGACAGTTTTCAATAAAAGATGAGACAAATGCTCTAACAACCTGTTTATTCTTTAATATCAGAAAAAGACAACTGATCGGTTTCATTAAATGCTTTCTGTTTTCTTAAAGGGTATATTCAGAACTATTTCAGATTTATTTAGAAATAAATGTCAACTTTCATGCAACTGATATCTGTTACATGAATTTTATATATGAATATATATAAAAACCACATGCCAAATTTTCCATTCCTGTAAGAGTTTATATACACACTTTATATGGAAAAATAAAGGAGCTGAGGTAAAGGTAAATATCACAAATTCAACACTGATTCTATACCTGTGTCTATCTTCGAAAAACTGGTACTCGATTCTTGCATCTCCTTTTGGTTGAGCTGACAGGAGAGCATCCACCTTCATTACCAAGTCACTCGCCCTGAAAGATGTGGTTGGTGAAAATTTAGCATCTCTTTTACTGAAGGTTTTTAAATTGTTGCTGAACATAATATAATCAACCTAAGTACTGAATGCCAACAAGCTGGTCTGAAGAAAATATAAGCTTTGTATCAATTGGTATGAGAAAAAAATACAGATTTTGTCACTGGTAAGTTTTACAGCCCTGGGGTAGGTGCTGATTTTTCCATATGTGAAATGGAGATAATGCCTACTTTGCATGGCTCTTGTAAATACTGCACTGGCGAAACACAGAAAGTAAAGCACCTAGCTCAGGGCCTGGCCCATAACTCTCCCTCACCCTCTTCTAAATAACTTTATTACTTTTTATGATCATCAGAGTAATAACTTACCGAAAAAACATTCAGGAAAAAAATATAAGTTGAAAATGGAGATGCACACAATAATAGCATATTCAAGAAATAAGTATTGATAACATTTTAGCTCATCATTCTTCCATATTTTAAAATATATATATCTACATACACAAAAGTGGTACTATATTATTTGGTAACCTGATTTTTCATTTAATAATATAAACATTTTGTTGGATAATAAGTATAGGGGTACATCAATATTTTCAATGACTGCATAATATTATATTTATGGATACATCATAATCTATTTCACTATTACAATCAACATCACGGTAAACAACTTAGAAAAGCATTTCCGCTTTCCCCACCCCTCCTAACTTGATTTCTAACCAAGGAAGATCTTGAACTAAATCATGAGACTGAAAAAAATGCTCTAATCTGTTGAATTGAGGACTAAATTCCAAGAATGCTAAAATATATTTGAATATATTCATGAATATATCTGAACTGGAATCAAGCCTATACATTCTCTCATCGAACCAAACAACTCTATCAAATTATATCTTTTGGTACGTCTCAATACTAACTCTGAATACATATAATACAGGCCATTTGTTTCCTGTGATGTGTCAACATTGTCACAAAATATGTCCAGGGATCCTCGGTTCTGTGGACTGGGATGATCGCCATGATCAAAGAGCCCACAGGTGAGCTCCGCAGGGCTGACGATGGCGTCTTGGCTGCAGGTCTGGGTCACGCTTGAGAGCTGTGGCTGTCATGCACGACCAAGGTGGAGCAGCCCTGGCACTAACAAAAATCTTAGGCAAGCAAGGTCACTCTGAGAACCCTAATAGTTTTAGCATCAATCTTCTGGCAGCCCCACAACTACCTTATTGCCCTAAATTCAACCAGGACAGACCCAGAGCCATCTCTGGTTGGTAAAAGGCCAAGTCTTCTATGCATAGTCTGGCAACTATATAGTCCACAAGGACTCCCGGGGCCTCCCACGAAGCCTCCACAGAGACAGGGAGTGGTCCAAGGGACACCACACCAAACCTATGCCTGTGACACAGTGGCTTCCAATCAGGGGGTACCTCCTGGCCTGCATCAGGGAAGTGTTTCCTAGGCTAAAACAAGGGGCATCACTCAACAACCAATGAGGTGGAAGGAAACCTCTTTATCTGTAGCCCCAGTTTGGGTGAGATGAAAAAAGATTCCTTTCCGTATCACACAAAACTTGGCAAAGAGACTACTTTCACAGCTATCAAAGTCAACGCTTCACTAAGAGTGCTTGTTGAACTCTGCAGCATCATGGGGTATGAAATAGATGAAGAAATAAAACAGAAGAACTTTAAAACTCTATATCCTCAAACGATGCATCAAAGAACACTATCAAGAGAGTGAAAAGTCAACCCATGGAGTGGGAAAAAAACACCTGCATATCATATAGCTATAAGGATTGATATCCAGAATACAAATGAACTCCTACAACTCAACAACAACAAAACAAATAATTAAAAATGAGCAAAGGACTTGCACAGATATTTTCCCACAGATATACAAATAGTCAATAAGCACACAAAAAGATGCTCAACATCACTAATCATTAGGGAAGTACCAATCAAACCACAAGGAGATACCACTTCACACCCATTGGAATGGGTATTACCAAAAGAACAGAAAATAGTAAGTGCTGGTGAGGAAGTGGAGAAATTAGAACCCTTACGCATTTCTGATGGGAAAGTAAAACGGTGCAGCCTCTGTGGAAAAAGGTATAATGATTCCTCAAAAACTAAACATAACCATACATCCTCCAGCTACACATTCATTTGATATTTAATGCAGAAACCATGTGAATATGACTATGAGCTTCAGTTACACAGCAGGTACACAGACCAGTCAAATATTGATTTTTTTCCCATTGAGGTATAACTCATTAAAATATATAGACTAATAATAACATTGAAAGAATTAAAATAACAATAAAGAACCAAAAATAACCAACTCATCATCACTTTTGGAATATGTAAGAAAAAAACCTCATTACTCCATACTAGTAAATAAAGAAAAAGAAACATTTAACTTGTCTTTTTTTTTCCTGAACAAAATAAAACTGAAAGGTAATTAAAGAGATAATGAGCGAAAGTATTTCTTTACATAAGTATTCTGAGGAAATAAATAAAATCACCTCTCTACTTCTGCATATGTTTGAAATTTTCCACAATCAAAAGTTACAAAAAAAAAATCAAAATGGAGAGAACTAATCCAGTTCTTTAAACAGCTGGCTACAAAATAAATTAACTCATTTCAACAGAAGTATAAATAAACACCTGAATTGAAGAACATTATTATATTTTAAAGCTGGAGATAAAAACATCTTGCAATAGGTAGCATGAGGAAAGTCCAATTAATATAGCCCCTGTGACATGAACTGATTCATTTCTTCTATGGCAAAACTTACACATCTTCTTCTACCCGAAGCTGTTGAATATGAGATTTGATTTTCTGTCCTGAAGTTTTTAAGATGATATTTTCTAGGAGGTGGAAATCGTCTTGATTAAAGAGTTCACTGTCCTCCAGTGGCCCAATGATCTGTGAAGAAGAGCAGGGTGGTCAGTGCTGGAATCAGCGGGCTGCAGAGAAGTCCTTGGTTGTCCTCAGGCTACCTTACAAACCAGATCACTTTACAGACCCGAAACACGTTTACATCTAAGTCAAATCAATGAAAAAAGTGAAAATAAAACCCGAATCAACTCATACAGTTATTCACTTATCAATTCCTCAACTACACAGAGTGTAGGTAGACTTGAATACTTTACAGTATTTTTACAGTAAGCAAACTCTGAAATAAAATAGCAGTATCATTTTCATTAATTCTCACTGAATATAAATAAGAAAGCCCAAATAGAAACGTAGTGGTAGATATCGGAGATTTCACCCTAAGGGCTAAGAGTTTAAAGTTTGGTATGTCCGCCAGAGTCTCATTTCCGTGGCTGCAGATATTTGTGAAATAGTCCAAGCATAAACCAATTAAGTTCATAAACCAATTAAGTTCATAAACCAATTAAGACCATAAACATGGTCCCCACACGGGACGAATACTTTATGAATCACAGGTCTTATGGATTTGGGTTCTGAGAACCACCACACTCTCACCACCTTACACAATGGCAGGACAAAATTAAACAGGAGGAAGGTTTCACATAAGGACGTTTATGTCAAAATGAGCAAACTTCCTTTGAAACAAGGGAGCAGAAATGACCATCAGCACTGCACAAGCCCTAATCACCTTTGGAGAAAGTGGCTCTGTCTGAAGAGTTTACTAGCTTCAGAGGAGAATGCTGCCAAGACTGTTCACTGATCTAATTTGAAGTCAACCTTGTCTCAGGACAAAGTTCTCACCCTTCCATTGCTGATCACTGCCCTCTGTCCCTTCTTCAGCTTCAGAACATCCCTGCAGTACATGGCATGAGACAAAATGAAATCCATTTTGGAAGACTCAAAGACCTCTTTAAAAAGACTGAAATCCATGCCCTAGGAAAGTAATTGTTATTAAGGAAAAGTAATTGTTATTAAGAAAACCATAAAAATGAATAATCATATAAATGTCATAAAATGCTCTTTTAGTGGAATGTAGTGACTAATTTTAATAATTAACACTACGATGTCTCCGTTCCCCACTCTCTCTCCCATTTTTTCCCAACCTCCCACTTATCAAGTAATGCTTATTTCCTTTTCCTGTTCCTTTATGTAATTGTTCAATTGGCAAACTATAATTCATGATACTTTTATTCTGCATTTTAAAATCTTGCTAATTTCAAGAGTCTTTTTTTAACTGAAATATCAAGTACATTCATCATTTTATAAGAAATCTTAAAACTACAAAATAGTCCAAAGTATGTAACATAAATTAATAAAATGGGCTTATGTTGGAAATACATCAAGAGCACATGAGCCTCTAACTCATTAAGTAGCTTCAATCTCTATAAACAAATATTTTTCTTTGTTCTACAAACAAATCAAATATTATCTGTCTTTTAAAAACTTACAAAACCAATGGCTTTGTGCTTAAAACATATATAAGCTTATATCATGCACATCTTGAAGCCTAGCAAGTTTAAAAGTAATAAGGGGAATATGGCAGAATTGTTATTTCTTGGTAAGACCCTTCCAATTAAAAAAAAAAAATCATCTGAGCTCAGAACTAAAATCACAAATCCTGATCATCAACAGGAACAGGACACATCAGCCCATGGGAATGGACTTCTGAAATAACAATACAAGGCAGCCTCGTGCCACACACAGACTTACGCCAACGGAGAACTCCCCAATGTCAGCTCCTGCAGCCAGCGCCTCTGCAGTCTCCTCCTTGGCCATTTTTGTGATGAAGTTCTTAGCAGAGTTGGAGGTCTGTGTTTGGAGAGCTGCCCAGATTGCTCTGGAGACCTGAGTTTTCTCATAACTTATATCTTCACTAGGATTATTGATCATGCTTACTCTAACATTGTTACTGGATTTCTATTTACAAAAAGGGAAATAAGAGTTATATGGTAGATGCCTTGAATTTAAAAAGCAGCATTAACATCAGTCATATCCCATAAGTAGCAAGTAACACTTAAGTCTTTGGTAGTTCTCCTCTGCATACAGAGTAAAATTAAAATGCTATAATCAGGCATTCAAACCCCTGCATGAACTGGCCCCCAGCCTACCTTTTCAACTTCATTTCTTACCATCCCTGTAAATACAGCATACATTACAGACCATCAGAGTCCTGTATTTCCCCAACACATTTTGCATTCTTCTAATGCATGTTATGCCTCACATTGGTATGTGAACCCCAGCTACACCCATCTTCATTTCCTTAAGTCCCAACCCTCTTGAAGGGCTCTGCTCAGACCCTTCATTCACATGGCCTTTCCAGTTCTACTAAAAATTAATCTCTTCTTGGGTCAAGAGTCAAGAATCCATGTGGGAGAAGATATCTGGGGCCCACAAAACCAAAAAAGGGCCATGAGCAACATAAATTCATACTTATGTGTATCTAAAAACATGTACAAGAGTATTCACTGCAGCATTCTTCTAGCCCCAATCTAAAAACAACCCAATTGTCCATCAAACAGACTAAACAAACAAAACTTTGTGGTACAGCCATATGATACAATACTGCACAGTGAAAAAGAACTAACTACCACTACCTGTAATAACAGGGGTAAGTCTCCAAAATGTTGAGTAAAGAAACCAAACACAAACAAGCACGTATTGTAAGAGTCCATTTAACTAAAGTAAAAAGCAGGCAAACCTAGGATGTGAGAAGAGGGATGGGGAGGGCTAGTGATGCGGCCACAAGCAGGGGCGTGCTTTTAGGACTTCGGTAATTGTTTCTGTACCTGCGTGGTGGTCACATGGGTGTGTTGACTCTGTGACACTACATCCTATTGATTTGTGCATGTCTTTTGAACCTATATTTTACTTCAATTACTCCCTCCCTGTTCTCCCACTTTTCACCACTTGAGCATTTGTCAATTTGAGTTAGAGTGCATTATACGTGTATCGTCCTTCGCCTGGACTACTCCTGATACAACTGACCGCACCATCCAGTCTGTTCCCTTAGACAATAAAGGCACTCAGCACATCAGTGAAGCTGAAATCACCTGGATATTTCAGTAAGCCTCCTTGGGACACAGAGTGGCAAGGGGACACAGGAGGGGTGTGAAACTTGGATGAAGATCCAATCTGAAACCGCTCAGGAAGAGGAAATGTAACATCTCTCTCTCTGACGATGACAATCTCTAGAAGGGTTGATTATTTTTCAACCGTTCACCACTGCCCATTCACTCCACTTCTACAGTTTATATGCCGCACAACTTTCAGACGACCCATATGTGCATCCCTCTGCATGCCTACACCTACTTTTATTACACACGTGCTAATGTGCCTCTGTGGTATTTCTCCCATATCTGGACCTCTCTCAATATAAGGACCCTGTCTCTCCCATACAATATACAACACAAACTTTGCAGCATCTGCAGCAAGAACATGAACAGTCATACAATAAAAACTTGTCTATGATGACGATCTTATTATTTTTTCCTCTAAAAGAATCTATTCCTGGGACTTCCCTGGTGGTCCAGTGGTTAGGACTCTGTGCTTCCACTGCAGGGAGCCCGGGTTCAATCCCTGGTCAGGTAACTAAGATCCTGCCAGTTGCACAGCACAGCCGAAAAAAAAAAATCTATTCCCTTACATAAAGCCAGAATATTGCAGTCTTCTCTGTTTTCTCACTAGCTGCCAGACCTCTGAAAAAACAATGCTTCTTTCCCTCAAGCACCAAAAAGCAGGATCCAGCCTCCCCACCAGAACGTTATCAGCACACATACGCCCATGAAGATAACTGCAGCCTCAAACAAAGATACGGAATGAAGCCGTAGATACTTGCCTGATGTTTAATAGCATCATACAATAATTGCCTTCCAGGAGGGCTATCAAAATCCCCAACAATCCAAAAAGTTACTGGCCTAATAAAAGAATCATCTGTAGAAGAACAAAAACAACATATTGAGTGGGAGGGGAAAAAGCACATCCTATGTTTCAATATTGCTATTAAGCCAAGTAATTTCTGAAAACCATGCAAAAACTAAGAAAATGACAAGTTTAATAAGGATACAAAGCAAAAGTTTTGAAACTCTGATACTAGAATGAAAGCAGGGTAACCTTCCATGCGGCTTAGTTAAAAACTAAGAACATGCACTTATTAGTTCTATTTTGATTTGGGAATCTGTTAGCATGTAAAATGAAAGAGTCTTTGAACGTGTGGATAACATATTATAGTCTTTAATCATATTCGTTTATTAACTTTCTAAAATATAATTCTTGGCAAACATTTATACACAGAATTTATCTGCATTGATAAACTATCTGTTACCCACACGTTACAGAAACATCCCAATAAAGTGTCAATAAATTCTGAATTACAGTGGTGCCTGAAACCACATAAGATAATTAGTTAACAAAAGGAATAGAACATTCTGAAATTTAAAGTTACCATAGATTTCCTTGGAGGACATTCCTGGACAAAAGTAAAGGAAAAAGAGTAGAAGAAAAGAAAATGTCATTTCTCTAATTAATGCCAACTGTAAGAGTCAAATTTTAAATAATGCCCAACATCACCTATGCTTCTTTTCGCTCCTTAGTCCCATTAGGGTTACAGCACTGTTCCAAGACCCCTCAGAACCAATTTCTTTGAGGAAACAAATGGAGCAATTGCCTGTACTTAAACATATATCTGGGAAACCAGAAATTCTCTCTGGGAGAAGACCACAGTAGATAAAAATAGCTGCCTTAGGGACTTCCCTGGCGGTCCAGTGGTTAAGACTCTGCGCTCCCAATGCAGGGGGCACGGGTTTGATCCCTGGTCAGGGAACTAAGACCCCACGTGCCACATGGTGCAGCCAAAAAAAAAAAAAATAGCTGCCTTACGTGACAGTCAGTGCTCTGAAAGGGTAATAAGTGTGACCAGAGGGGAGAAGCACCCGTCTGCCGTTAAGAGGATATCATTTTACACAATTTTAATCTGAATAAATAACTCTGCATCAAAATCAGTTTAAAAACGTGCACAAGGATTTCTTGTACCAAGCTGATCTTACAAATGCTAAAAACAATTAACCCAATATTGTCATTGAAGAGACAAGTCAAACCAATTTTCAATCCGTTAACCCATTTTTACATCATAATTCTTTTTCCATTTTGAACCATGAAAAAATTTTTCTTTTTACCTTTAATGTCTATATAAAATTTATAAAGACAACATCTGAATTTTCAAATATATATAAAAAATTAAATTTTAAACAGATATCTTCTAGACTCAAATAATTATACAAAGTAATAAAAGAAATTATGGAATCTCTTTTCCAACAGACACTAAAAAAAACAAAGGAGAAACAAGTTGAATCCAAGGTAAGCCTAAAATGTATTACCTTTCTTGGTCAGATAATTCATACTATTGGCTATAGCAGCAGTCTTGCCTTGGGAATCCAAGACGGTAAATCTAGCATAATCATCCACAAAAAAGTTATCTGAAAGAAAAATTAAAGTAGATTTATAATTAATATGCCTAAATTCAATCTAATGTTAATATTCAATTGATAATCTCATTTGACCATAATACACACTTTAATAAAATGCATGAGCGAAATATATTGTTTCAAGTTTATTGAACAAGTTCACAACATGACCCACCCCATTAATCACATTTTAAGACACAAATAGAAAATGTACACATCTCACCCATAACTCTCAGATATGTGTTTGTCAGTTTGATGGTTTAAATTTATTCTATTCCCACTCTTTTCACTTTACACCTACAGCACGATCTTTTAAAGAGACACTCTTAACTTCATCTCTCCTTTCCATAGTCCATCCCCATAGTAAACTCTTCCCTATCCTATTTGGGGGTAAGAGGGGATGAATGGGAGAGAAAATATTAAAAAAAAACTCTTGTTTTAGTTATTTCACATCTACCAAAGTAACATTTTTAACCTTAACAGAAACAAAAGGTCATTTTCAGATATGTTTCTTTTCTGATTAGTGCCTATGGGCAATGCTCTTATTAATCATTTCCCCCTCAGATAACTCTTGCTAAAATTCCAGTTTCATCAAGTCATTCCCTTGCTCTCAATACTCTGTAATTTCTTCCTACCTACAAACTGGTCTCCAGCCTGGTATCATAAACCCCTTCTTTATCTCCAGCAATCTCCCCAGGCCTTTGCATTATTTACTCCCCAATACAAATGCCCCGTTTCTTGCAATGTCCTCCACCCTCCCATGTATTTGTCTGTCCACCCACTAACCCGTCTATCCTTTCACTCAACAAAGCACACCAAGGGCCTACTATCTCTTCAGTCAGTAGTCTAGCAAAGGTAAGCAATGGTAAATAAGACAGACACTGCCCATGACTTCATGTAGCAGAAGGGAGGAAGCACCATGGCCTTAAAACTGAGTCGCCAGACAGCAAAGGCCAAGAGCAGCGTAGATGATGGAGCTATGACAACTGGGTTAGGAGGATGCCAGCTGCTCTTTCACTGGGAGCTCCAAAATGCTCACCAAGCAAACTGCATCCTTGCCACTGTGGAGTAGCATCATTTCACAGCTGAGGACTGTAATACTCAGTGGAGAACGATACCCAAACACAGAACTACTTTTATGGTCCTTATTCATGAGTACTGCAAAGGTAACTCTTTATAATTTAATTTAAAATGATGGAAACGACAAAAACTCAGGACAAAAATTCATAATACTGCTTGCCTTGCTCTACTAATACTTCTGGTAAAAGGCACTTTCTTACTACTTTCTTTTTCAAATATAAGCATACATGTGCATTTTTCCTCTGCCTATATTTAAACATTTTCTTCTGCCTGAAAGGAAAGGAATTTAGTTTCAAGTAGAATAGGGGTAGTTGCAATAAAGTAACAACCATAAACAGATCTATATATTCACTATGTTCAACTACAACAACAAATACACTTGGTTTCGACTTCACCATTACACATATCCTTTCCTCCCCAGTGAGATTTCCTGAGCAACTGGTAACTCTACTGTATTTCCAGCAGTTTGTTAAAGTGGCCTTAAGAGTCTCCAGGAAGGCAAAAGGAACAAATTGTACCTGGGCTTAACCTCTTAAAAAGGTATTCTTGGGCTTCCCTGGTGGCGCAGTGGTTGAGAGTCCGCCTGCCGATGGAGGGGACACGGGTTCATGCCCTGGTCCTGGAAGATCCCACATGCCGCGGAGCGGCTGGGCCCGTGAGCCATGGCTGCTGAGCCTGCGCGTCCGGAGCCTGTGCTCCGCAACGGGAGAGGCCACAACAGTGAGAGGCCCGCGTACCGCAAAAAAATAAAAAAAATTAAAAAAAAAAAGGTATTCTTGTGGAAACAACCTAAACACTCATCAACTGAGGCACAGATAAGCAAAGTGTGGCCTATCTATACAATGGAATATGAATCAGTCATAAAAAGGAATGAAGTCCTCCAGAACTGTCAGACAATGAAGTTATATTTATGTTTGTGATTTATGATATTTATTATCTGAAAAAAAGAAAAAGGAATGAAGTTCTGAAGACAGGCTACGACATGGATGAACCTTAAAAACTTTATGCTAAGTCAAAGAAGCCAGTCACAAAAAACGTCCAACTATATGAAATATCCAGAATAGAAAAATCCATAGAAACAGAAACTTAATTAGTGGTTGCTGAAGGACAGGAAAAGGGGGAAATGGAGAGTGACTACATCATTTCTTTTGGGGGAGATGATAATGTTCTAAAGTTAGTGTGATGCTCACACAACTTTGAGAGTATACTAAAAACTGTGCACTTTACAACTGTACACTTCGAAAGGTTGAGTTTTATGGCATGGACACCAGGGGTCACCAATCCCCGGGCCATGGACCAATACCGGTCCATGGCCTGTTAGGAGATGGGCTGCACAACAGGAGGTGAGTGGTGGGTGAGCCAGCGAAGCTTCATCTGTATTTACAGCCACTCCCCATCGCTCGCATTACCGCCTGAGTTCCGCCTCCTGTCAGATCAGTGGCGGCATTAGATTCTCATAGGAGCACAAACCCTACTGTGAACTGCGCACGCGAGGGATCTAGGTAGCGCTCTCCTCATGAGAAACTAATGCCTGATGATCTGAGGTGGAACTGAGGCGGTGATGCTAGCGCAAATAGGCTGCAAATACAGATTATCATTAGCAGAGAGGTTTGACTTGAATGGAGACCATAAATCAACTGCTTGCAGACTCATATCGAAACCCTATCAGTGAGTGGCAAGTGACAATTAAGCTGCGTCTGGTGGCAGGCTTTAAGTCAGAATCCGACACTTATTTTAGTCCATGCGTAGCCCAACCCACACCTGAGCCCCAAGCTCAGGGCTTCCACTGACTCTGCATTATGGTGAGCTGTATAATTATTTCATTATATATTACAATGTAATAATAATAGAAATAAAGTGCATAATAAATGTAATGCACCTGAATCATCCCGAAACCACCCCCCACACACCCTCGGTCCATGGAAAAATTGTCTTCCACGAAACTGGTCCCTGGTGCCAAAAAGGTTGAGGACCGCTGATGTACACTATTTCTCAATGAAGCTTTATTTGTTAAAAAGGCATTCTTAAGTTCTCAGAGTATAGCTACCTGAGATATTTGTCGACATTATCACTGACTGACTGCATAATGAGAAAGAAGATAGCTGCTTAAGAGCTTCAGGACTGTAAGAAAGTCAACAATCTAGGTCCACCCTTACCATCTAATGCCTACATTTAGTTGGCATTTAAAAGGCACTGAATATCTTTCAAAGTTTACAAAGATTTATCCAGGAAGAATTTCTCTCCTTTTGGAGGAAACTCTTGTGAATTTAGAAGCTCATATAATGAACTCAAGGTGAAGGAAACTGTGTCACAACCTTGGGTTATCAGAAATTCTGAACATTACAATCCAATAAATGCAAAGATTCTGAAAGACAAATCAAAGAGGCCCCAAATTGTTCCCGAAATACTCCTTACTTGTTGCTGTTAAATCCAGGTATTCTCGCTCAGCTGTCAAAATCCTAGAGTTGATTCGGGGAACAACATTTGGCTGATTCATGATGTATTCTACCACATCTTGATCATGGGACAGTTCACCCTAGAGGAAAAAAAAAAAGAAAACAGGGTGTGGGTGAGATGCACGTTAAACAAATATGATCAATAATAATTTATTAGGACCTAAAAAATCATTAACTTTATAGTATCTTCTTATGTACTGATAATAGCTAAAAATAGAAGTTACCACGTTATAGGGTCCTGTCAGTGCCAAGCAAGGTACAGTATGTACGGTATCTCTAATCCATTCAACAATGTGAGGAAGATGTGGTATCTATTTAAGAAAGGTTATGAAGAACCTAGGGGTAAGACAGGTATAAAGACACAGACCTACTAGAGAATGGACTTGAGGATATGGGGAGGGAGAAGGGTAAGCTGTGACAAAGCGAGAGAGGCATGGACATATATACACTACCAAAGGTAAAATAGATAGCTAGTGGGAAGCAGCCACATAGCACAGGGAGATCGATCAGCTCGGTGCTTTGTGACCACCTAGAGGGGTGGGATAGGGAGGGAGGGTGGGAGGGAGGGAGACGCAAGAGGGAAGAGATACGGGAACATATGTATATGTATAACTGATTCACTTTGTTATAAAAAAAAAAAAGAAAGGTTAAATAACTTACTCAAAGTCACAGAGCTAATGAGAAGTGAATATGAAATGCAAACCCATGTTTATTTGATCTCACCACAGAAACAAACAAGCTCTAGAAATTAGTTGAAGAGTTAATACAAGCAAAAATCCATCCTGAGATCTACTCAGTTAGCTTCTCTCTAAAGAAGAAAGCCAAATTAATTCTCTCAGGCGTTAATATACTTAAAAAAAAAAAATCACCCCAAGCCTTTTTCAATCTCAGGCATTTCAATCTCAAGTAATCCTACATTTCCAGAGTCACAATTACACTGGGGGAGAAGAAACCATTAACTAAAGAATTAATTAAAGAATCATTAATTCTTCCCTTTATACTTCTCATATTATAGAAATACTTGTACTGCATGAGGGTGATCTAATGTAAACGGCTGTGGAAACCTGCAAGTTTTTCACACTTAATATATTTCATACAAAACCATATTTCAACATGATTTTCAGGGGGAATAGATGTGAATCAAATATACACAATCAAGTCTTAAAAATTCCACTCAGGCATCTTCTATGGCTACTTATCTCAAGAGCAATAACTCACAAATTCTCAAACTATAAGTCAATAATGAGCATATGCGCCAACCGCATAATTCAAAAGACTTACAAAGGTAATCGATGACTTGCTATAGATGTAAGCTCATGTATAAAACTTTGGTCTCTATTATAAGCCTGAACTGATTCCAATAAAAAGCCTAACTCAAGGAGGCAATCTGGCAAATCTATCAAAATTTTACATGTACATACCTTCTAATGCAGCTCACCTACACACACATACACACGCACACACAGTGGTTGTTTCCAGAAACAAAAGATGAATGGCAGGGGAACAGGAACGAATAAATGACAGTTTCTCTTCATTTATACCTCTATACACATTTTGAATCTCACACTATCTGCATATCATATGCTTTTATATATAGTGAATTTAGTGCAAAATTTTAAATGTACATTATTACCCTTTGACACAGTTCCAATAATTGGTATTTCTCAAAAAATTACGAAGTACAAAGATATACATATTAGAAGATTCACTGACCATTATTTACAAAAGTGTACATCTACAAGCAACGTCCAACATTAAGGGATAAAATAAATGATTATTCATTCTTAAAAAGGAATAGCAGCAATCTAAAAGTTTTAAGACAGAGTTATGTTCAGAAATGCAGTGCTAAGATATATTCAATTAGAAAAGTAAGCTAAAAAGCTGAAAAATGCACATATACATATATATAAATCAATATGCAGAGACACACAGAAATAGTTCTCTAGGGATGAGGGTAAGAACTTTCATTTTTACGTTATATAATTGAGTATTTCCCAAATTTAGTATTTTCTAAATATGTGTGGAAGCACATATAACTTTTGTCATAATATTTAAATGCTTATCTAGCCAAACCCATTCATTTCATGTTTCATTCCTGGAGCTCCATGAAGAACAAATTCCTTAACGAAACTACTGGGACCTATTCTTATTCATGAGGAGACACGCAACCGAATTCGGCCAATATTTTTTTGTGTGTGTCTAAATGCATTAACAGTCAGCACAAGAAATAGCTTCTTTCAAAAATACTGCTTGTTTTTTTTTTTTTTAAAACAAATGATGCTGGGAAAACTGGACATCCACATGCAAAAGAATAAAGTGAGACCATTACCTCACAGCACACACAAAAACTAACTCAAAATACATCAAAGACATCAACATAAGAGCTAAACCATGAAACTTTTAGCAGAAAACATTAGGGAAAATCTTCATGACACTGAATTTGACTATGATTTTTATGATATGACACCAAAATCACAGGCAACAAAAAGAAAAAAGAGGTAAATAGGACTTCATCAAAAACTAATTTTAATACTTTAAAATTAATATTTAAAATATTATGACAAAAGTTATTTGTGCTTCTACACATATTTAGAAAATACTAAACTTTGTATATATAAATTGTATAAAGTAAAAATGAAAATTCTTCCCCTCATTCCACTCTCTAGAGAAATATTTCTGTGGTCTCCATGTATATTGATTTTTTTTTTTTTAATTTTTTGGCCACGCCATGCAGCATGCAGGATCTTAGTTCCCTGACCAAGGATCGAACCCACGCCCCCTGCAGTGGAAGCTCAGAGTCTTATCCACTGGACCGCCAGGGAAGTCCCATATTGATTTATACATAGGTATATGTGCATTTTTCAGCCTACCTTTCCAGTTGAATATACCTTAGCTCTGCATTTCTGAACATAACAACTCTATTCAATACTTTTAGAATGCTGCATAATATTCCTTTTTACAAATGAACAGTAACATTTATTTCATCCTCTAATGTTGGACGTTACTTGTAGAAACTTTCGTGAATCAAAGGACACCATCAAGAAAGTGAAAAGAGAACTGACAGAATGGAAGAAAATGTTTGCAAATCATATGTCTGATAAGGGATAAATATCCAAAATATATAAAGAACTCCTACACTTCAACATCAATTTAAAAAAAAAACCCATTTTGAAAATGGGCAAAGGACCCAAACAGACATTTCTCCAAAGAAGATATACAAATGGCTAATAAGCACCTGAAAAGATGTTCAGTCTCATTAGTCCTTAGGGAAATGCAAATCAAAACCATAATGGGATACCACTTCACACCAATCAGAATGGCTATAATCAAAATGACAGAAACTAAGAGGTGTTGGTGAGGACGTGCTATGGAAAACAGTTTGGTGGTTCCTCAAAATGTTAAACACAAAATGATCCAGCAATTCCACTTCCAGGTATATATCAAAAAGAACTGAAAGCAAGGACTTGCAGATAATTGTACAATTGTATAATTGAACTAAATGTTCACAGCAGCATTATTCACAATAGTCAAAAGGGGAAACAACCCAAATGTCCATCAGCATTTGAATGAATAAACCAAATGTGGTATATACATCATTTAATCTTAACAGGAAGGAAATTCTGATACATGCTGCAACATGTATGAACCTTAAAATAAGCAAAACACAAAAGTGACACTGTATGATGCCACTTACATGAAATACCTGGAATAGGCAAACGCATAGACACAGAAAGTAGAATACTGGAATCGCAGTAGGAAAAGTTACCTTTATGACATTTAACTTGCCCTATTACTATCTACTTGTCCCCAGCTATGCAGGAGCCTTGAAAACCAACAGCCCTGCTATAGAGGTGAAAACCAGCAGACTAGGAAAGTCTAGCATTCTCTTTATTTGAGCGGAATCAGACCTTACTTGGTGCCAAGTGTCTTTTTCCTGGAGGTGTTTGTCAAAAACAATCAGGAGTAACTGTTTAATGTCTCAGTTGTTTGAGTGGTGACAGCAGTTGGGTTAACATAAAGCTGGCTAAAAGGAACAGAAGAAAAAGCTAGGGAATGAGATGTCTATGAGGGATTTTGAAAAGTCCTCACATTCCTTGGGACCTAAAAGGCCACGTGCATGGTGGCCAGGGGTGTGTACACGCCCAGGAAAAATCTTTGAAGGCCCTAAACTCTTGGCCCTAACTAACCTTGACACTCGAGCAAGCAAGAGCTGAAGAGGCTAAGGCAGAGTTGTAAACCGCCTGGCTGAGAGCCGAAGTCACACTCCAGCATGTACACAGGCACACCTGGGAAAAACTGGGAGACTTTCTTGGATTCATGCATTTAAGAAAATCTCTGTTTATTCATTAGTCGACCAATAAGCTAACAAACAGAGACTTAAGAGGCTACATGCGATAAAGAATACAGACTTTAAAGAATCAATACAGTAAACTCACTAAACAAACAACAGCTGCAACAACAAACCTTGGTAGGGCAAAGACTCTGATTTATGAAGGTGTCACATTACATTAATTAAAACATCCAGTTATCAACAAATTTTAAAGACATGCAAAGAAACAAAAGTGTGACCCATAATCAGGAAAAGCAGCAGTTAGTATATACTGTTACCGAGGGAGTCCAAGCATTAATCCACAAAGTTTTAAAATCAGCTATTTAAATATATTCAAAGAACTAAAGGAAATTCTATCTAGCAAACTAAAGGTAAGTTTGAGACTCGTGTCTCACCAAATAGATAATATCAATAAAAAGAAAAATTATGGAAAACACCAAATAGAAAAGCTGGAGTTAAAACATATAATAACTGAAATGAAATATTCACTAGAAGGACTCAGCAGAATATTTCAGTAAAAAGAATCAGTGAACTTTAAGATACAACAAATGAGATTATACAGTGTAAGGAACAGAAAAAAAGAAACCTGTGGGACAGTAAACAGTATCAATATATGTATACATCAAGAAGGAGGAGAGGGGGCTTCCCTGGTGGCACAGGGGTTGAGAGTCTGCCTGCCAATGCAGGGGACACGGGTTTGTGCCCCGGTCCGGGAAGATCCCCACATGCCGCGGAGCGGCTGGGTCCATG